CACTAGAAAAAAGAATGTAAGTAGAAAGAATATACAACTTAGGCTCAGAAGACTTAGATTCTGGTTCTGGTTCTTCTTATTAGCTGAACAGTCCTTGTGAAGATACTTATTTTCCTGAACATCAATAATTTTTTATATAAAATGGATGTCATTGGAATCAAAGTGTTATAGGACAGGGAGAGGGGCAGCCCAAGCCCGGCAAACCTGCCTATTCTAAATGGGTTCTGCCATCCGCCGCATCAACACAAAACATATGAGACTTTAATGGGAAGGATCTTTAATAAAACTAGGAAACAATACAGGTAAGGCAAAGAGTCTAGTTTCTAAATGAAGCACCCAAAGTTACCCGTCCCCTCGTGGGTAAAAGTCCATCCATATGGGATCGGCCCAGAACAAGGCCCCAAAGCCTGCTAAAAGTCTAAAGCATCTTCCAGTGGGGACCCACAGCAAAGGGTCACAAACAACCGGACAAGCCCGGAAGGAAAAGAGCAAAATCAACATCAAGATAAAAGCTGCCATTGTCACCTCCCCACAGGTCTCACCCACATCTGTGTCACCCAGTCCACGACCAAAAAACAAGCGCAGTTTCTTCACGTGTCTCTAGGCTCCATGCACCTCCTCCAGGTCTCCTTCTGGCTCCATCCTGCTTCCTTCCTCTGTCTCTTCTTCAGCTTCTCCCCTTCCTGCTCAGCTCCACCCTCCCTTGGGTGGGGCAGGGAACCTCCCCCTTTCCTGGGGACCACCCTGTTGCAAAAGCACCATACACATATTATTACCCAGCCATTTCTTATTCAGAGGTCTTTTCAATTTTCTTACTACAAGTAATTGACTTCAAGGATACTATACTTTCCTAGTATTCGTTATTCCTTGCTGTTTATTTTTGATGTTTTAGATGCTCTTTTTCTCTTATCCACTGATAATTTGTGATTCTATTAATCTTTAATCATTCTAACAGACAGGAAAATAGAACAAACCTAATCCTCACAAAATGGAAATCATCACTTGGAAGTTGCATACAGATATTTCAAAACTGAGACCATAAATTCAGTAAAAATGTTCCAGCACCAATATTCATATCAATAGATATGAATGAAATTGAAGAAATTTATTTTGTATTGTCTAGGGAAACATCTCTAAACCAGCCTTTAGAGTGGGTTGAAGGGGCGCTAGCAACAGTTCAGTCGCCCTTTGCTTCCCAAGCTAGAAATATGAACCCTTCTCAATGTCTGATTCTTTTTCCCTTAGGGCCAGACTCTATTCTGCCAGCTACTCCCTTTACTGGCAGGCAAATCTAAATATGGTAATTGTGAATGTGCTGTGACTCTCAGGGCTTAATACACTTATTTCAAATGTCTTCATAAATGTGCCTTTTAATAGTCTCTTCCACTTTCCTCAAAGCTTTCCTCTGTATACACCTTTCTGCTCTTAGCTCCCTAGTGCTTTCCGCTATGCTTGTCTGACTCAGGTCCCACCAGGATACCCCTAACTTCTGACATTTGGACTTAACTTTTTTAAAGAAAGGTCACAATATACTAAATATTTGGCTGTCTCAGTGGTCTTGTGGCAACTACTGTATACAGATTCAAGTGTAATATTAGTGGCAGGAATGAATGAACTCGAGAAATAAAAAGCTTATTTTCAACTCCATGTCTTCATAGTAAAACTAGACAAGACAGTTAGTTATAAAATATGTTTGTTAAGTATACTGGTTTCTAAAAGAGTCTTTTTTTCTCTGAAGGAATTCTAAGAGGTTTCTGTTGTATTTCTAGGGCAAATAACCTTTAGCCTTTACTTCATCTTTTGTTTCATTTAAATGAATGAATATTTGAAAAGCTCTTGTCTCCATTTTCCTATTTAAAAAAAACAAAGGACTCCTGTAGTTTTCCTATTTTAAAAAAATGTGACTGTTACTATTATATTGGTAGTTTTATTTTAAGCTAAATTTGAGGATGTTATTATCTTCTGTCCAGCTGTATGGTTGTTTTTTGTGTTTTCACGTAACTTCCTCCTCCCCTCTTCTTTAGCCTCTTGGAATTTTTGTCTCTGATGCTTGAATTCACTTCCTTTTTTCCTACAAAAATGAGGTGCAGAACAAGACATGGCTTGGAGTCAAAAGTAAATTCCTGCTTGTAAGAGCTAGCAACCATTACAAGCTCTTTAAGACCCAAACCTGCCTATCAGCTTGGCTGTTGGGTGTTTTGGGAAAAAGCACTGGACTAACTCTTAAGAATCTTGAGTTTTAATGCCAAAAATGAAAAAAAAATCACTCTGTGTATTAAGAATTTGTCTGGTAAGATACTGAAAATTTAAAATATAGCTCAAACATAAATTTTTAGAATACAAAATACATTTTCCACCCATTTCGAGTCAGGCTAGTTTGGGTTTAGTTTCCTTCCTATTTTCCCCTGTTATGAAGCTCCACAGGGACGCCTAATTAAAGCGTGTTTTCTACATTTTAAAATAATAATATTGCTTTTGACTCAGCAGTATTTCAATTTACATATGCAAAGGAAACTATGAAATTACAAGGAATGGAAACCATCTAGGATGGTATTTAAGGAGGAAATTAAGATGTACTAGAACTACTTAGAATGTGCCCATACACCAGTTTTACCCATCTTTTAAAAGAATAGGGAATCCTAAATGTGTGTGTTTATGTTTGTGTGTGTGTGTATATATATATTTTTTTTCTTCGTTTCTTCATATATTTTTAAACATTTCTTAATGTAGGTTCATTAAATGTTCTTAGATTTTTTTGGTTCAATGTTAAATCATATGTACATTAAATGGTTTAGGATACATTTTGTAAAATAATGCATGTGTAGGTTCCACTTTTCAAAGCTGATAAAACAGAAACATGTTGCAGAACAGCTCATAACAAATATAGATGATGCTATAAACACTATACTCTAGTTATTTGCTCTCGTTCAACAGAACTCAGATAATTTCTAAATACAGAAGTATTATAGACTAATAGAAAAATAGATAAGCTACTTTAAAGGTAAAATATAATTTAGAACACAGTATTTAGTTTATTTGCTTATATTTGAAGTTTTTTACTTTGGATAGATATAATACTTTTTTTCTGCTTAGAAGATATAAGGAACTGCTTTAAGTGGTTCCTAAAATTGAATGTTTAAATCCCTCCCATGTAAATTTAATTTTTTAAGTTCAATTGTAGTACTCTTAATTGCATTTAATTTAATTTAATTATAGTATTTTAATTTAACACCTACAATCAGATTGGGCATGTACCAAGTTAGAGGAAATCATGAAAATTTTGTATCAGAATTTTTAAGTTATAAGGAGTTTTATGGCCAATTAAACTTAGTCCTTTCATTTCATATTGGGAGAGACAAAGACTCAGAAATATTTCTTTTTAGGATGTTGAAATTACTTTGTAAAAGAGCCATTATTAAAAAGGTGCGGAGCCTCCTGGTGGCTCAGGGGTTAAAGCCACAGCTATCAAGCTTTATCACCAGCCACTGCAGCACAAGTTCAATCCCCAGCTGGCCAGGGAGCAACCCACAGGGCGCACAGACCTCTCCTGTCTCACCCTGTGCTCCCTTCAGCAGTGTATTTCAGCACAGCTGCCTATTCTGCTCCCCACTCTGTCTCTGGTGAATCCTCAAATACTACCCCCCGACCCCACCCCTGGTCTGTAACATAAATAAATAAATCTTAAAAAAAAAAAAAAAGATGAGATTCTTAGGCTATCACTTCATTATCAATTTTAGAATCTAAACTGCGAAAAGAATGTTCATTGGAAGGAAAAAAATTAACCTCTCAGATGTCAGGTCTTACACATCTATTGACCTGTATGTAGATGAGTGATTGTCTCTGTTGAAATTCATGATGACTTTAAGGAAGACCATTCTAGGTCTTTAATGTTATTGGCCCTGATGGGGTAAATGAAACATTGCTCAAGTATGAATAGCCGAATAGCTGTCTTGTCTTCTTTTTCATTTCTAAATTATCAACACATGACTTGTATCTTAGAAATACCTTCCAGGGCCCCTCCTGTGGTCTAGGGCTTAAGTCTAATGCTATCACCACTACAGACTGAGTTCCATCCTGGCCAGGGAGCTACCCACATGGCGCAGCAGACCTCTCCTATCTCGTCCACTGCTCCCCTCAGCAGTGTATTTCAGTCAGTCTGCCTGTTCTGCTCCCCACTCTGTCTCTGGTGTAATACTCTCATTCTCTGCACCTCTGGCCTACACCCCAGATCTTCTATGCATAAATGAATAAAATAAAATCTTAAAATAAATAAAAAATACTTTCTAGATGGCTTTATTTTTGTTTATTGAACTCTCTGTTGGCATGTTAATGGATGTCCATCCGTGAAAGAATATGGGCCTTAGTTTTACATTTAATTTCTCCCTATTCCTTATTCCTCACTTAGGGTGGTGCGATATTTGTTTGTTTTTTCTTCTTAAAGATAAGCATGCTATATAAAGCCATTCACAGTTTATCTGTGTATTCAGGGATGTTTTAGTTTATCCAGATAATTTTGTGAATTAAAGCCTTTTAATTTTAGTTGAATGCCTGTTGTAGAATTTCATTTTTGATAAAACTTAGAGAAAAATAAGACATCTTTTCTAAAGTTTCCCCCAAATTATTAGCATATTCCTATAACCAGATAGCCTTCCTTTTACTCTTCCAAAAGTAGGTCCACAAAAGTGGAGCTGGAAGACTGATAAGCGTCGCCAAACTCAAGATCTCCCATGAGACCCTTCCAGAAAAGATTAAGGCTCCTCCACTGGCTCCCTCCCATGAATCTTTTCTAGTGTTCTTTTCTCAGCATCTTTATCATTTGTTCCCATGCTGGAGCTGACTTGCCAATTTTGTCACCCTAAATCTGTAATGCCAAAAGTTTTTTAATCCTATTTAATGAGTGCTTTCGAGATTTTTATAACTCATTGCAAACATTTAATCCCGTGATTAGATAGCTGTATGTTATAATGGCCAACCCTGCTCACTTTTCTTCCTCCTTCTAGAAGAAAACCAGCAAAACCTCAAGGCAAGAACCATATGTTAAAGCATCATCTCTTTTTAAAACTGTATGTATTATGTCCTTAATTTTCCCAATAGCCTCTTTGTAGTTAGTACTGTCATATAATTTTACATTTGTGTAAACTGAAGCTCTATAAGGTCAAGTAATTTAACCGAAGTGTCTAGAACCTGAGTTCTAACTGCATTAGAATTTGACTACTGAGAGCATCAGAACTTAGATCCAGCTCTCCTTCCTCAATTGCTTTTATCTTTGACTATTAACCAATTCAATTCTCTAGTACACTAGAACTAAAAATTCTTTTATATGCATAAAATATATCAGAGTAACTGGATATATCTATCACTTATCATCTTTGTATCTAGAGAAATAAAAATATATATTTAGAGAGAAAGAGGATCCCATTTAATAGAACCCATATGATTACATGTTAAGTTGCACAAAGCTTCTTTGTTTTATGATTTTTATAATTTTAATATTCATAGAAATTTGGAGTAAGGGAAGGAAATATTTTAGGAAAACAGCCAAGTTCCTGAAAATCCTAACTGCTTTCTTATCACACACACAGAAAACAGACTTAACAGCATGAATAAGTCACACAATTTTAGATTTAAATTTTTAGCATTAGTAAGTATTCAAGGTTTCAATATGTATTGCTATGTAAACTTTCTTACCTAGCAAAGTTAGTAAAATTACGTAAAAATATTTTTTTCAATGTAAAACTGCAAGGTTGAATCTTATTTGCTGTACTCGGAGAGCAAGTACTCAATAACTCTTAAAGGTTTTTTATTTTATAAATGAGGAAGACTTTTCATTATCTTCCCCATATCTACCTAAACTTGTGTCTGAATGACTTCATATAGTCAGTCATTCTCTAATAGCTGTATGGAAGATATAAAATATGTCTACTTAGCTCTGTAAAGCCTGTATAAATGATCGTATCATTCTGTTCAGAAATGGTTTCCCGCTACTTTCAGGACAGTCTTCTTAACTTGATCCAATGTCTTCAAGCCCTGTTCTACCTTTTTAGAATTCTCTTAAATCAAGCTATGGTGGTATTATTCAAACTTTCCGCTGGGCTTGGCTAGCCCTGAGAATCCATTCTGTGCTATTTCTTGACATTCAAAGTCTGCCAAAATAATACCTTTTTTTCCATCTTTGATTCTTCATTTTTAGACTGTTTATCCTTTGCATTTTATAAATTTGCATTTATAATCTCATAATATTTATAATTTTGTCTATTTAATTTTCACTATTGATTGAGGCAACTTTTCATTCTTTTAAATTCAATTTTATTGTGTTATATTTCACATACAATAAAATGCACACATTTTGAGAATACAGCTGTATGAGTTTTGAGAAATGCAGTGTTATCACCACTCTTCTCTGGATATAGAATGTTTCCTCCATTACTCCTGCTTTTCGTAACAAGTTCATACCTCTACCCCATAGCTTATACCTCATACAGAAAGCATACCTCATGATCTGATTTCTGTCACTATTGATTATATATATTTTCCTAGAATTTCTTATAAGTGGAATCAAAGTGTGAACTTTTGTGTCTGACTTATATATTTTTTTGAGATTCAGCCATTTCGCTGAGTATATCAGCAGTTCTTTTTTTATTACTGAGTAATATTCCTTTTTATGCCACAGTTTATGTATTCTCATGTCAATGAACTTATTTCTAGTTCAAGTCAGTTTTTTTAAGATTTATTTATTTATGCATACAAGAACTGGGGTACAGGCCAGAGGCACAGGAGGTAAGAGGATTTGCTGGAGACAGAGTGGGAACAGAACAGGCCAATCTACTGAAATACACTGCTGAGGTGAGCAGCGGGCGAGACAGGAGAGGTCTGCTGCGCCATGTGGGTAGCTCCCCGGCTGGCTGGGATTGAACTCGTACTGCAGAGGCTGTGGACAGCTTCACAGCGCTGCGCTTAACCCCCTGTGCCACCATGGAGGCCCTCAAGTCAGTTTTTTATCTAGAACTGCATTATGATTGCCTGATGAGATGCCCCTCCATGGCAGAGACAACCTCTGTGAATGCCTGATTGAAAAGTGACAAGCAGGAAATAGCACTGTATTAAGCCAAAGCACTGAGTTTTGTTGCCTTCTTTTTCACAACAGATAGTTTTAATTATCTGCATTTTATAACATTATTAGGTTTGGTATTTTATAGGTATATCTTTTTTCAGTTGTGATTTTAAAAGGAGATATTTTTAAAACAAATTTCTTAATCAAAAAGTTATTAATATCTGCCATAAAGTTTGTGTGTGGTTTAATATATTGTCTTAAAACAAACAAAAAAAAAAGAACAACAAAAGTTTTTAGATGACTTTAATATCTGTTGCTTTTGACAAAATTGTAAAGTTGATATTTTAAGAAGTTTAAACAAATATCGCTAAGTGAAAATATGGTTTAAAAAATAAGCAATAAGATGGGATTCATTAGTAGGTATTGAGAGCTATATTTGTAATATTTTTGTTAAATGTAAAACCGGTCATGGATTTCTTCTGAGGTTTGGAAACTTTACAGGTGAAATTCATACTAACTTCTGGCATGGTCTGACCTGCACCAGTCTTTCTCCACTCTGCTTCTTAGGTGCCAGTTATATTAAATCTCTTTGCCTCCCATAACACCCAGTACTTCTTTTATCTAATTCCTGTTTATTTGTCCCTGCTTGCTGGCTTCCTTCACTCCTTTTTTCCTGGATAACTTTCCATGACAAATCAGCATCAGATATCCCTCCTGTGTGTCCCGTTAGCATTGTGTATGTTTATTGAAATACTCCCTACAGTGTAGTGCTTTCACTTGTATGGATTCACCACTAGGTATTGAACTCTGAGGGAACATGGACAATGACTGATGGCTGTGTCCATCACTTAGCATCCTGCCTGGTACAGAGTCGACTTGTAATAAACATTTGGAAACTAATAAACTGTATGAATGTGTGAACGGATAACGAATGAATGTGAACAATACCACAATCTATATCCTTTATGGTCTTACCTCGTTTACTCAGTTGTAATTTTTACTAAAGTGACAAATATGCATATAGCAACATCCCAATCCTACCTTTTGGATTTTTAAATTTTTTTTTTAAGATTTATTTATGCAAGAACTGGGGTACAGGCCAGATGTGCAGGTGGGTAAGAGGCTTCACCAAAGACAGAGCAGGGAGCAGAACAGGCAGACTGACGAAATACATTGCTGAGGGGAGCAGCGGGCGAGGCAGGAGAGGTCTGCTGTGCCGTGTGGGTTAGTTCCCTGGATAGGGATAGAACTCATGCTGCAGTAGCTGTGCCACCAGAGGGGCCCTGCATAGCAAGAGTCTTTTAACTACATTTGGCACTGCCTTGATAAAATATTTTCATGGTCTGGTCATTTATAGAGTAAGTCTTTTTTATCTATTTTTATTCATTATATTTACCCAATGACTGAAATCTGAGTTAACAAAAAATATTAGTTATCAAAGTAGATCTCATTGTTCAGTTTGTTGGCAAACATATTGAAGCAGCCTGTTTACATTATAAAATTTTGTTTATGACACAAGGTAGAGTGTTTAAAAGGATTTTATAACTATAGAATAGTAGATGATAGAAAACAGGAACATCACTCATCAAATAAATGCTAATATAATATTTGGGCCTCCCTGGTGGCGCTGTGGGTTGAGCGCAGGGCTGTGAAACTGTTCGCAGCCTCTGCAGTGCCAGTTTGATTTCCGCCCAACCAGGGAGATCCCAACATGGCGCAGCAGACCTCTCCTGTCTCACCCGCTGCTCCCCTCAGCAGTGTATTTCGTCAGTCTGCCTGTTCTGCTTCCTGCTTTGTCTCTGGTGAATCCTCTCACCCTCCAGCACATCTGGCCTGTACCCTGGTTCTTGTATAAAAAAATAAATAAATCCTTAAAAAAAAACATTGTCGAAAAATGTATAATATTTACTTGGGGAATTTAATGTAGTTTACCTAAATTATAGCATTTTGTATGTTTTTAAGAGAAATCATTCAAGAAAATGCTTGATAATGAAATCACATTAAAAACCAGCACATTCTTCCAAAAACTGTTTATTGGTGACATCTGCTGGTCCAATGTTGTAGTAAAGATGAAAGTATCTCTTAGTAATTTCATGGAAATAAAGCCATGAAACAATGAATGTGGACAAAATTGTTTCTTGTACTGTCAATTGCAGTTCTAATTGAAAAATTTTTTTTGTCTTTTTGAGGTTCTTTCAGTCCACTGGCATTTGTTATTAAAATAACAATAATACTAAACTTATATTTTACCATAAATAATTCCGATATAAACCTCTATAATTTGGTGTGTGTTAGCTATGTTGTCTGATATAATGCTACAAATTCTTTTTCCTCTTTGTCACTCCTGACTTTTCTTTATGTAATACTTTAGCACAGAATTTTGCAGATATAAAGATGCAGAATTATGATTTGAGTCATTATTTCATGTCATTTGTATAGAATAACTAATAAGTTTATGTATACATGAGTTTAGTGTGTTATCTTTATACACTCTCTTAAGTTAAAATGAGACTTTATATTGGACAATAACTATGGAAGGAGAAATTTTCATTTTTATTCTATAGAGATTTTTTGCATTATAAATTATGGAGGAATAAAATATATTTGGTCCTTGGATATTTTCTCTATACTTATTTCGTAGATGATTGTTTCTAGGTTGACAGATTTAAGCACTACACTACATACATCACACTTCTTCTTTGAATCCAGACCTGTGCAGCTGGCTGCTTGCTTCCATAACATTTCCATTTCATGAGCTGATGTGCCTCTCAAATTTAGCGTGTCCAAAACAAGACTTATTTTGTTTTTCCACAAACTTGTTCTTCCTGTAGTCTTCCTTATTTTAGAAAATGAATGTTTTATTCTACCATTTTTTTAAAAGATTTATTTATTTATGTATAAAAGAACTGGGGTACAGGCCATAGGCGTGGGAGGTGAGAGGATTCACCAGAGACAGAGCGGGGAACAGAACAGGCAGACTGACTGAAATCCACTGCTGAGGGGAGCAGCAGGCGAGACAGGAGAGGTCTGCTGCGCCATGTGGGTATCTCCCTGGGCGGGGATAGAACTGCTTCTGTGGCTGCGGACAGCTTCATAGGTTGCGACTTAACCCCTTGCGCCACTAGGGAGGCCCAGAACCAAATATTTTTTAACAATTTATTCTTGTACCCTGCACTCAAACTATCTAGGAAATTTGCCAATGCTGATTTTGAAATTTAATTAGAGGGCCTCCCTGAGGGCACAATGGGTTAAGACTCAACCTAAGAAGCTGTCTGCAGCTGCTGCAGCGCAAGTTCAATCGCTGGCCAGGGAGCTGACCTATGTGGCATATCAGACCTCTCCTGTCTCCCTGCTGCTCCCCTCAGCAGGGTATTTCAGTAGATCTGCCTGTTCTGCTCCCCACTCTGTCTCTGGTGAATCCTCTCACCCCCGCACCTCTGGCCTGTACTCCAGTTCTTGTATGCATAAATAAATAAATCTTTGAAAAAAAGAAATATAATTAGATATGTCACTTTCTCAGAGCTTGACCACACTATGTTAAATAAGACCCAGCTCCATCACTGTTTCCCCCTTATCCTGTTTTGATTTTTATCATGACAGTTATCACCATATGCGGTATTTAGTGTTTTGTTTTTTTTTATTGAATGTTTTCTTGACCTAAAAAGTCAGCTGTATGAAAGCAGGATTCTGTATTACCCGTGGCCACATCCTTAGTGCCTAACCCAGTACTTACACATAGTTGGCACTCAGTCAATGTTTGTTGAAAAAGTCAATGAGCCTTAGTGTGTGAATGTAAAATATAATTTGTTTACAGTATAATAACCAAATTTAATTAATAATGAGGCACCTTCTAAGGCAGGAGGGGGTTTGCTTTGTGGAAATCTTTATGTTTTATCACTTTTCTACATTTAACACAGATTAAAATAGTGTTTCATGGTTAGATTTGAGCATAGACAATACTCTTGATGTCAAAGTTCAGGACAGTATTACTGTTTTGAACATTCCTTTTATGGGAATAATTACTTTTTGTTCTTTTGACAGAGACATCTGACCCTCAATTATGTTAACAGACTTTAAACACATGAATGGAAAGAATGACCCCTTTAGAATCCATGGGAAGACTTTATCAATATGAAATGCTTCCCACAGAGTTTTTCTGACAGAACAAAACCCCCCATCATAATGAAATTGTAAATTCATGTGTATATGCCCTTTTATATTTGAAATCTGCTTCTTGATGTTTTGTCTGCAATTAAATTAATTGTTCAAAGTCTCAAATGCACAATCTGGACTAAACCAAGTTGTCAGAATCCTTTATTCAGCATTAAACATAAATTGTGATCTTTAAACAATAACATACCAAGGTCAAATTCGTCCCCAGATGTGTATAATCTTTTAATTTATCTACTGTTTCATGTTTTCCAGTTAATAGACTCCTAGTCTACCTACTCACAACCCCACCTATCTAGAAATTATCCAATTATGGGTTTTAAATTACTGAGAAATACTTTCTTTAGATGGAAAAAGATAAGTTTAAGAATTTTAATGCTGTAATTTTCTCATCCACGTTTTAGCTTAACATGAATTATTTTGCTTTTATCCTCATTCTGTGTGAAGTAAATAATTATATAGTTTGTAAGCTAAATTCTGTGGTTACACTTCTCACTATTAACATGACCACAAAGTAGACCATATTGCTTAATTGAAATGAATTCTTAAATATTTTAAAACATTACTGTGAACATGTATTAAATTCTTTCCTGAGGTTCTATATGTCCTCCAGTGAAGATCTGTATGTTTAAAATTAATAGTTTTCTTATATTTTTGTGCATTTCTCTTGTGACCTTTATAAGCCATACAGGAAGAATTACCCAATTAAATTTGAGATTTTACTTTTTATCCAAGTATATTTAATAGTGTTTAAAATTAACACACATGAAAGCATAGTTGTATCACAAATCTTTATTGTTTCCTCCAAGGGATTTTGATACCAGATACCCAAGGATTTTTTTAGCAAGGTGATCATACCTACAAAGTAAGCCAGTAAGACCAATATAGTAATGACCCTATTTAAAAATCTTTAAATGTTTTATCATAGGTCTGAGTATCTGGTTTTTTCCAGCCATTATTTTGAGTCTTCACCAATTGAAAGGCTACATAGTTTTAGAAGAGAGGTATAAGAAAACTATCCCCCCGCCCCTTATTTTGTGATTTCTAGGAAGTGCTGCATTTTTTGGTTCTCTGCACCCATGTGGAATGGAGAAAATACTTACTGGTAGAATTGTGATACAATTAAATGAGACGACACATGTAAATGGACCCCGACAATGCTCAGCAATACTAAGCACATGATAAATCTTATTTGGAGTCCTGTCTGTGTGCTCTCCCTCTCTCCAGGCTGCCAGCTCCACTGAGTTCCCCTTGCTATATTATCCCATCTGATTGGGTTTACAGAAGTTAAAACCTTTGAGCCAAATTGGAAGCCCCCCCCTACCTTTTTTTTTGTGGTCTGCAAACTCTACATTGCTCTGCATTCATTGCCTTGATAAGTAGGGAGAAGTCAGGACCTTGAATTGATCTATACACAATACCCAGCAGGTGTGTGTGGCTTTTTTCATCACAACAAATTGCTTCCCCAGGGTTGGATAGAATGAAGAATACGGCACTCCCAACCTTCGTTTTCAGTTCACATGGAACCTTTAGAAGATTTTCTTAAATCTCTCTTCAAACTGCAAATCTGAGAGTTGAGCCTTAAATTATGTTAATATGCTTAGCAATGTCATTTTAATCATTTTGTGTAAAATTACTTTCTTATTTGATCATTTGTAATACTGGGGTCATTGTTGTAGAAGTTTTTCACCTTTTAAAAAAACTCATTTTCAGAAAAAAAAAACGGTGTAATATGCTACCTTATATCTCAAAACATGTTATAATGAAAGATTTTTATTGTTTTAAGGTGCAAAGATGGTTTGAAAGGATTTGCATTTTCTGCGCTTAGGTAAGTTACGTATTTTATTTACTTTTATTTGAGAGAATTTACAAGTTAAGTTCTTAAAAGGTAGTATTATATGTAATTACAATAAATAGTGACTCAGTTTTTAAACTGAAAGTAATTTTGGAAGTCACAAAAGTGACTATGGATACTTCATTAAAAGGGTGATTTATTTGATTTCACCCAACTCCCCAAAAAGTCAGTCAGTCAACAACCATTTTGGGAGCCTTTTGTGTGCTTATACTATGGGTGTTCACAAAAAAATCATAACTCTCCAAGAAGCTTGAAAAAACAACCAAAACCTCCACATGAACAATCACTCAAAATTTAAGTACTCAAATATGTGGTACCAGATTGTGGGATTTATGGACTAATGGGCAGAACATTGTCAAACACACAGTCTTTTGGGCCTCCCCGGTGGCGTAGCAGTTGAGCACTGGGTTGCAAAGCTGCCTGTAGCCTCTGCAGCGCTGGTTCGATCCCCGGCCACCAGGGAGTGTCCTACATGAGGCGCAGGACCTCTCCTGCCACCTGCTGCTCCCCCCAGCAGTATACTTAGATCTCTCTGCCTGTTCTGCTCTCCGCTCTGGCTCTGGTGAATTCTTTCACCCTCCCCGTGCTTCTGACTGTACCCAGTGCTTGCATAAATAAATAAATAAATAAATAAATAAATGAAATAAATAAATAAATAAATAATTCTTTAAGAACAAAAAAACACATAGTCTTTTAACCTCAGAATCCATTTCTTACCACAATGATTGGTATATGGTAGATACTGTAGAAATCTACATGGGCAGTGTTAGCTTTATTTTTTTTAATAATTCAAGTATTTTTACAAAGTTAAAATTCACAGCAGTTCTGTGAGATAGTTTTTTTAATGCCCATATAACTTGATGAAAAACCAAGATTTAGAATGTTTGATTAACATCACACAGTGACTATTCCAACGCTCTTCCATTTTATGTCATAACGCTCTTCCATTTTATGTCATAAATGTTGCCAGTTTTATTCTCTAGAGTACATGCATTTGGTTGGTAGATGTGTAGTGAAGATTAGAAGTGTCACGTTTACTGCAAGTACAGGCAGGAAAAATTTTTTTTGGTTTTGACACTAAGGACAGCTTTTATTTGATTTATACAGTTTTGAGAATCAAATGAATTAATGCATGAAACTTGCTTAGAATTATGTGTAACAAAACACAGTGTGTTCAGGAAATGCTGACTATGCCAAGTTATTATGTGAAGAATACTTTCAGATAACTGTTAAGGGAACAGGAGAACTTTCTGAATGGAGATCAATAATGTTAGCAAAAGCTTAACAATCATACACATGAAGTATATTTTAAGAGTCAAAAAACCCACTTAATTGTTATGGAAAGTTCATATTTAGGAAATTTAATGATTTTTTTTCAATGATAAGTAGGATATAAAATATGAAGACCTATGGAAAAAATTGTGAAAAATTTGAATTTGGTAACATGGGCAGTAGGGAGGGAGCCACTTTAAGGTTTTTTGATCAGGGTCATTGACCAGTGTTTCAGAAAGACTAGTCCTGCTACACATTTAAGACATTGAAAAAAACAGAATCAGAAAGACAAAGATGAAATAAGGACTGGGCTTGGGTGATAGTTAAGGATTAAAGAGGATGAGGCAAAATTGAAAGTTGCAATGGAAGAAAATGAAAACGTAATGAGTGATAGTTTTGTTCTTTCTTTTCTAATCTATTCTTCAATCCTAGCTAAGTAGTACGTAAAATCCCAAGTGCCTGAAAAAGGATGCTGTTAAGAGAAAATCAAAAGGCATGCAAAGAAACTGGTTTGCAAAGAGCAGATTGATTAAGAATATCTTTGGTTGTGAAAACTCTAGGATAACAATAACTAAGTCATGATACAGAACAGTAATTTCTTCATATTATATTTATTTTTCATTTTACCTTTTATCTTTATTCCATCCACATGTATAGATTTTTCTTTTGTTCTTTTTATAGTTTGTTAAAAGTTGAAGGCTTAGTGTTTTTATACACTGTGGGAATTGTATGGGGACTATAACCAAGATGAAAATGAATACATTGTGCAAAAATGAAAAATGATGTAAAAATACATAAAATTAAAAATGATAAAAAGAAAAATACCTGCAACAAATATAAAGAACAGATAGCAATGAAAGTATACAAAGAAGGGGGATTTCATGCCAATCTGATTAAGCAATTGGATACTTAATATTTTGCCCTAAAAAATTATGTGTTTCTATATCATATTCTCTCTTAATGGCATTTACTGTAGTTTGTCTTTTTCCCCAAATTCCCTAGTCTTTGGGAAAGAACTGGTACTCAGTAAATACTTGATGAATCGGTGTATATCAGTATTTTAAAATTACATGTACCTGACTCATTAACACAACTGTAATTTTTTAAAAAAACTGAAAGGCAGGTGCTCCCTTCAGTTACTATCTTTTTTTTGGCATAAAAGACTTTAATTTCTTCATACTATACTTTTCATTGAAAGATCATGTATTAGAAAGTAAGTTTTTATTCCTTTTGGCGTTGGCTATAAGGGATTCTGTTAAACTGAAAATTGGCAACAAAAGCAGAAGTCAGTTTTCCTAAAGAGAAAACTCTGCCTTTTATCCTGTATATCTCTCCATAGACTCCAGAATCCTTGCAAAGACTCAAAATGTGTGAGATTCCTTGTGGCTTTTCTTCAGATCCACTTACAATAAAAGGCTAGTTTGGACTATTTGCACTTAAAATTTTCTCTGTATTATAAGAAAATACTCTGGGAAAATGGTTATTAAGCTTTGTAATCTATAGAGATAATAGTTTAGGTTATGGGAAAAGAGAGAGTCAAGGACAGAGCTTTGGGAAAAGAGTTAGTGCAGGAGTCTGAAGGTTTATAAAGTCTGATTCATCTTAGTTTAAAACTTAGAAGCATGCATAGCTTGGTGCTTAAGAACCCAGGCTTGAATTCAAATAATTACTGAGACTATTGACTATAGACTAGATGCTTTTTCATGCTCGTATAGGAATTATGTACCTACTTCAGTAGTGTTGCAGTAAGGATGAAATGGTTTACTATTTGTAAAAAGCTTGGTACTGTACTTGTCATGTAGAAAACATTCAACAAGTGCATGTTATTTCTCTATTCACTCATTCATTGTGTCTCAGTTAAATAATTATTATGTACCAGTTACTAAGTTAGGCACTGGGATATAATAGCAAAGGAAATATACATAGTCTCACAGATCGCGCAATTTAGTAGAGGATATAAACTATTCAAAATGTACTTCCAGTACTTGGTAGAGGGGAAGGGGGAGGTCTCCTGGAAGGATTGCCAACTACACTCCAGTTTGTGGCAGAAGCAGCAGCACTTTCTCCAGGGAAGTGACCTCTAATTTGAGATGGTTAGTCTTGGCCAAAATAGTAGCAGTATTATAAAAATGTGAGAGATGTTATTATATCTGCTCTAACTTACTATGTATAAAGAGCAATAGTCCGATCTTAAACTCTCTTTGTGCACCCATGTTCAAGAACCCAATGCTTTTAGACTAGCTGTCACCAAGGATGCACAGCTGCCCATCTGGTGACAGTCTCATTGTACACCGCTTAGGATTTGACAAACTACTAGATGATTTACTGAGTTTGTCTGAATAGGTTGTAGTCATAGGTAATTAACAGCATTTTCTTTCTTTTATAAGTGGTTAAATTTTCTTATTGTTTTTCATAGGTGCCCTATTCTAGAATTTTAGTAGTGTTATTGAACCCTTGTTTTTTCTGTATTTTATGGTATTTTCTGAACATTCAGTAGTTGGGAGTTCCCATAGGAAAGCTTAGTTGTAAGAAAGCTTAGTTACAAGTTTATGAGAGCAGATTCCTACATTGAAGGAGAAAATAGCAAAAATGAGAACTCTGATAAAGGAAACTGATTATACAGTTTTCATGAGATAGAAATAATGTCTTCACCTGGATATTAAATTTTTCCCAAGAGAAATATGTAGATTGGAATACGAGGAGACATGGAATTGTGACCCTTTTTGGATTCTCATTCTTCATTTCCCTTTGTGTGTATAGATGACCTTCTAATGCTCTGCAGCTGTTTTATGACTCAGAGTCACATTAGAAATGAATTTAGAGTAAAAAATTAGGTACATTCAATTGTAGCTATTAGATTTTAGAGAAAAAAAGGAATTTTTGTCAAACTGGTAGATCCAAGTTAATAGTTTATCTGCTTCTTTGTTTGAAAAACTTTATACAGTACCTCCAAAAAGTGGTAGCCTAAGATTTTAAAAAGGATGCTTCAAAAAAGTGCTATGCTGTATTTCACTTGACTGATTTGATATTAAAATACCTGCATTATCAGACAAATGACCATTACCATTTTCTGAGTATTCATATTTAAAAAACTTAGTTTTTAAAAGGATGATTAGTTTTTATATAGATTGTGAAAAATATTTCAAATGATAAGGTACTCTCCAGAATGTATTTGTATATAAACAAATTCTGATTTTTTTTTTTTCCTCTCCCTGAATTATTTATGGTGAAAAATGCCTCACATTATCTTTTATTTAGGTTTATTGTTGGGAAGGAAGAAATTCCCACACATTCTTATTCACCAGAGGCAGCATATGCAAAAGTGGAACAAAAGACAGAGAAACATGATGAAAAACCAAGAAGAATGAATCTAATTGCTCTAATCAGGAAACTTGTGGATTCAATGTGAGTTCTTTCTCTTGATATTTTAGCACACTTTGTTGCTGTTTTATATATTTGCACTGTGCCAAGCTGTCTTTATTTTCTTTTCAGGTAATGGTAATTTTTTCAAAATTGTGAACTGTGCTTACAGTTTTATAAAAAGGCACATAATAGCAAGTGAATTATTATTTCTGGCACAGTTTTTGCCATCATATATCTTTAAAGGAAGATTTTAATTAAATTGAAATACTTTTAATGTTAAAGTAGGCAGAATTGTAGAGGCAAAAATAGGGAATTTCAGTAAACATTACTATGTGCTATTTGAATGTGCCAGCTGAAGAGGAGAGAGGCAAGTTCTGAGAGATATTTAAGAAGATACAAGAATCATAAGGAGCAAACATTAAGGAAAGGGTATCTTGCAAGAGTGGAAATTTTTAGGGCTTTGGAAATAAAGTAAGAAATATTTATTTGTACATTATGCAAAGAAGTCTCTATTTCATACAAATAAATCTTCATTTGCATTTCAGATTTATCTACTTAAGAAAATAAACTTCATGGTTTCAAATTAATAAAATAATATAAAATAATCTTAGTTGTGATATTTTAGAGTGTGGAGTGAGTAGGGATTATAGAAAGTTCAGGGATCAGTTATGGGAAACAGCCCTTGAAAAAACTGTAAGACCTTTGAATCACACGTTGCTCCTGCCAACTTTGTGACTTTGGGCAAGTGATGTTATGCTGCATAACAAAGCCCTCATTAGTGAACTGAGTTTAACAATCTCTATTAAGAAGTATTTTGTGTGTTAAATGATATAACATGAGTTGCCTCCCATACTTGAGTGAAGAGTAAGTAATCAGTACTTTTACTGAATTTAAGGACTTTGTGTTCCTCTTAGCATATACCACATATAAAAGGTAAGAGGGAGGAAAGAAATACTGGATGACAGGAGTCATTGTGATAATAAGTAAAGCAAGTTCAAAATAGTTATGGTTGCCTTGGTTGGGAAGAGGGAGAGAAGGTCCCCGTTAATGGCAATAATGTCAGCAAGCATCAGGGGGTTACAGAGAATGTATCATGAATGTGAATGATGCCTCCAATATCGGAACTGATCTGGTCGTGGCAGAGCTTGTCAAAGTAGTCTGATTTAGTCCTCTGGTGAGAGCAGATGCAGGATGATACAGAGCACAGCAGGTAACAAAGTAGCCAGTCCAGGATTCAGAAGCTATTTTAATGAAAGATAAAGGAGATGTTCAGTGATGGTATAGTTGATATCAGAATTTAACTGCCATTGCAAAGAGATTTTAACAATTTCTGTATAGTTCTGGTAGCAATGACTGAGAAATACTTACACAAGGATACGTAGAGTTGCAAAAAGTAATAAGCATAAGGCAGTCCTGGGACTTGTCTCTTCAGGCCCCAGCTGTAATCACTCAACAGCTTCACATGACCAGATATGTCATATCATTCTAATGACGTAAGGGCTGTGATCAGTGTAAACTGTTGCTGCCAGCTCTGCTTGGGAAGGGCTGCTTGTGTACTCCAGCTGCAGTGAAGAATTGGATTTCGGAAAAGGCGTTGTAATTGATTTGTGAATGGAATAAGATTTGTGAATGTGGGACCAAAATATCATTCTACAAGTTACCATGATAAACATGGTGTTCTTGTGCTCCAACTCTGAAGATAATTAATTAACTGTAGTCTGAAAGGGTTATAAAGACTACTCATTTTGCACACGAACCTTTCAAAAGAGAATGGGAAAGAGCTAAACCCATGTTAGTATATAGTACTTACTTTTTTTATGCCTAGAGTGAATAAATAGTTCTGAAGGTGGTATACCAGATGATTAAAAAAAGTGTCTTGAATAGTAGTTCTCCTAGAAGAAATGTTTATTAAACACTAGAGGACTAAGTGGTTTACAGTTAAAATCACAACCTACTTTTGAGTTCCCACAAGATCTATTTCTATATTTATTTAAAAAACTGAATTATGCATTCTAATACTATATCATGTTTCTTTTCCAGATGTTTTCTCTCAAATATAATTAAGTATAAATTCCTGTAATCTGAGCACATTCTTATTATGAATTTCGCTCAGGCACTGAATTCATGGATGATTTATGAGCTCTCTACTCTACAATAAGTGATTTAAAGGTTCCAAAAGATTGGCAGAATGTAGAGAATGTATATGCATTGTTTTCATATTTAGTCACAAATATTTATTAATATGGTTTGTCAAACAGTGAACAGCAAAGGAAAAGCAAGTACATGTTATCTTTGCTTCCTGTGTCCTAAGAAATCAGAAGGTGCACACATTTAGAAACATGTTTTGTGCACTGTGATTTCCTTTTTTGGTTACAGAGTTTTCAACAAATTTACCCACACACACATCCATCCATTCACAATTATTTTAGAGTTTTTGGTGTGATTTCAGATGTAAACATGGACCAAGGCATAGATGTTGCAAACACTATGAAGATAATTGTATCTCTTACTGCATTAAAGTAAGTATGCAATAGTATATTTTATTAACTATGGGGAATATATATAGAAATAACTTATTGAAAATAATTTTAAAGTAAATGAAAATGTTGACAATATAGGTTATCATTCTTTGCATTTTGACTTTAAGAAATTTGTGAGACACAGGTTAAAAATTCAACTTTTTAAAGATATTTTTTATTTTATATAATTCTTACATCATTTTTCATTTTTGCCAATGTATGCATTTTCATTTTGGTTATATTCCCCATACAATTCCAACCCCCCCTTATTTTGACCCTAATCCCTTTTCTCCTCCTCCCCCCACCGTAATGTGTGTCTGGTTTATAGTTGCTTGTTGATTTTGATTTTTTCTTTATTATAATTAGTCTTTTTCCTAGTCCCTTATTTAGGTTTTCTATACTCAGCAAAATAAACCAGAAAGAAAAAGAAAAATTTAACTTTTAATATTCTCTGACCAGGTTCTTAGACAACTTTAAAATTAACTTTTCTAACAATTAGTATAAAACTTACGAGGTACAAGGGAAGATAAAGTAATATTAACAACAAAAAAAACCCCAGAAAAAATTGTCATTAAAATGTGTACATTGTACTATATCCTCATTTGGCTACATCCTAGAACAAGGCCCCTAGACTGTGCTGTATAAGCTAGCTGGCCCTGCACATACCCTGTGCACACTTTGTACAGTGGCGTTTGGGTTTGTAAAGCTGTTACATTTTTTAAGGCATTGAGGTAACTGGAACAGACCCATGAGTGTTCTGAACATACCCATGATTGTTCTATATTAAGAGAATTAGCTATGCCTACCAGCATAAATGCCTCACTTCCTGATACAATAGTATACTAGTAGATCTCTCCTGCTCACCCGCCACCCGCTTATCCTCTGCCCATTCTCTGGAGCCACCACCTCTGAGAAGGAGGTGATTTTCTTTACATTTAGTCCGGCACAGGTGGCACCACCTGCCACAAGTTCTTGAGTTTTGGATGGTCCTCTGGCAATTCTAATGCATTAAAGTCTGAATTCTTTCTTGGAATGTCTGATCCCTGCTCAGTTGTTGAGAAGAGCGGAGTTGTATACCCTCCAGAGACAGCTTCCTGACAGCCACTGGGAAGAGAAGGATTGTGTCACTGTAGTGCTTATGAGTTTGAGTGACCATGGCCAGTGCTGATGGTGGTTTGCCCAAGCCAACATTTACCCTCAGAACCCCCATGAGTATAAACAGAGTTAAAAGCAGGAGAGTATTTTTTTTCAGTCATGCGGTGATTTTCTGATACTCTCCTTCCACATTTTGATTTCTTGCCTCATTTTTATTTTATTATTTTTTTTAATTTTTTAATTTATTTTTTTTATTTTTATATTCCCTATACAATTGCAACCCCCTGATTTTGACCCCTGTCCCTCCTTTCCCCGCACCCCCCCTACCCCCAAGTGTGTCTCTGGTTCATAGTTGTTTGTTGATTTTGATTTTTTTCTTTCTTATAGTTATTCTTTTTCCTGGTCCCTTATTTAGGTTTTCTAGATTCCTGCTATGAGTGAGACCATCTGGTATTTTTCTTTTTCTTTCTGGCTTATTTCGCTGAGTCCTGCCCCATTTTTAAAGTGGCAAACAAAAGCAAGTGCAGTACAGTTGCTGACAGTCAGAATAGGTGGGCTCCTAGAGAGTTATCACTTCCTTCAGTGGACAGAATTCTAGTCCAAGAAGAAATTCTGGAGTCTCTGGAAACTAAAACAAGTACTCTGACTAAATTGGAGGCATATGAGAAATTCTGGGGAGAGGTGATAAGGAAAAAAAAATTGTATGAGAAAGATGGTGATACTGAACAGTAAAAAAAGTCTAGTTATTCTTTCAAATGTTTATCAGTACTATAAACTTGGCAATTTACGTATAAATTGAAATGTTACGTCTATGAATATGAAATTACTTGGAGATCTGTGGGTGAGGAATTTATACCACCAGTATAGTGAACCAGCACCTCACTGTCCCATGGACAAAGCCCCAGGATGAAATCCCTGAATAAATGTTGACATCAGTCTCACTCCCCTCTGCTCGCAGTGTTCCAGGCACACGGACTTTTTCCTTGGTTTCTTGTACATGCGCAGCTCTTTTTTTTTTTTCTGACTTTGTGCCCTCTGCCCTAGCTTTTTGAAATGTTTTTCTCCTGCTAACTAACTTCTCTTTTGTGCATATTTAAAAGTCACCTTTTCCATGGCCTCCCTTTACCACTCCATCTAATTTTCCTCAAAATGTCCTGATTATTTCTGTCACAACACTTAACTGTAATCTGTAATTATTTTATATTTATTTGTTTACTGATTTTCTATTCCTCTGATGAGTTTGGAGAGCTATTAAAACAGCTTTGTGCCCTTGACCACTCTTCCCACTCGGGGCTATAAGAGGCATTCAGGGAACACCTCCTGCCTAGATAACGGGGAAAAGCATCGTGAAAAGATCGAACGTGTGTGATCCTTGATCCTGAAATTAACCTTAGAAAAGTGTACATCTCTTGCCTTCAGCAAATCCTAGGCAGTTTCAGTTAAACAAATGCATGGTAATTCATACTAAATGAACAATTTAATTTCCATGTTTTAGCCAAGTATTAGGTAGTTTGGGTTAAGCTAAGTGAATGTTTCTCCATAGTAATGCAACTTTTTCTAAAGTTTCAGCTAGATAGTGATTATTCTATCCTGGTGATTAAGTGCAGTTTTCTGTTAAAAATACCAAAAGCATTTGATTTTGTTAACTACTTTTTTCTTCCTTTAATATTTCAGTGCTTTTGTTCCTAAGCGTGGTTTAGGAATTATAAATTCTGGCTATTGTCAACAAAATGTCAAGAGATGGAATTTTGGGGCATTGATAAGCTTAGCCAGTGCTTATGAGACTTTTCAAGTTCTTAGGAATCAAAGAAATATATTTACTGCAAGATCTGACTATAGAACTGAGACTACCAGAAGGTTAGGGAGAGAGGGGGGATAACAAAGTGGGGGTGCGGAGGGGGTGCAGTGGGCCATGGTGGAGACTATAGATGCCTTGGTGGTGGGTGTGTTATCAGCCGTTAACATAAACCTCTAAATCACACCATTGTTGGAAGCCAGTGTTACCTCAATAAAATATAAATTTAAAATATTTCACCTTACTTTTAAGTAATTATTTTAAAAGTATTGTTTGAGGGCCTCCCTGGTGGCGCAGAGGGTGACCGCTGGGTTGCAAAGCTGCCTGCAGCCTCTGCAGTGCCAGTTCTATCTCCGGCTGCTCCCCGGCCACCAGAGGAGGGTCCCACATGGTGTGCAGACCTCTCCTGCCACCCGCTCCTCCCCTCAGCAGTGTACTTCAGTCCTTCTGCCTGCTCTGCTCCCTGCTCTGGCTCTGGTGAATTCCCTCACCCTCCTGCGCTTCTGACTGTACCCAGTGCTTGTAAAATAAATAAATCAATCTTTTTTTAATAAAAAAAGTATTGTTTGAGGGTTTTATATTTAATTTTATGCTTTTTTTTTTTTAAGATTTATTTATTTTATACAAGCACTGGGTACAGTCAGAAACGCCGGAGGGTGAGAGAATTCACCAGAGCCAGAGCAGGTTGCAGAACAGGCAGACTGACAAGTACACTGCTGAGGGGAGCAGCGGGCGGCAGGAGAGGTCTGCATGCCATAATTTTATACTTTAATTTTTTTTTTTTGAGGTAACATTGCTTTACAACACTGTACTATGATTCAGAGTTACAGGTTTACACTTCCTCAGATGTGTGTTACCACGGCACACCCACCATCATGCACTCACAGTCCTCCACGCTCGGCCCTCCCCCACCCAACCCCTGCCATGCCACTCTCGGAGCCTAGTTCTAGGATTTGCTTTTGTTAAGAATTTTGAAAATGGTTGTGTCATAAACTTGTATTAAGTTTTTTAAGACCTGTTTTAATAGAGACTTGAAAAAAATTGTAAATCGGAATTTCCTCCCACTTTTCTCTAGGGTTTCGTCAGAATGTTTAGCGTGGGATACTTGATCCAGTGCTGTCTCCGAATCCCCTCTGCATTTAGGCATCTGTTTACACAGCCATCCCGGCTGCTCTCTCTGTTTTACAATAAAGAAAACTTCCAGCTTGGCGCTTTTCTAGGTTCTTTTGTTAGTATATACAAGGTAAGGTTTCCAGAAGAGGAAAGAAAAATGGAGAATAAATAATGTGGCTGCTCATAGAATGAGATATGGCCTTAACTCATCTGTGACTTTTGTAAGTTTTTTTCCCATTGTGTTTATAATTAACATCACCAAGTATACACAATATATCAATATTAGGAACTGAAGTTGAAATTTTTGTTTAAAAATGTTATTTAATATCCTTGAATAGGTAGACATATTTGCATTTATGTGTAATAGTAAAGATTCTTAATCCTTTTTTCACTCTGTAGAACCTGAGAAAATATGACTTTTCTGATATTTTATTTTGTTTTATTTTAAAGTTTAATTTTTTATTTATACAAGAACCAGGGTACAGGTCAGAGACGCAGGAGGGTGAGAGGATTCACCAGAGACAGAGTGGGGAACAGAACAGGCAGACTGATGAAATCCACTGCTGAGGGGAGCAGTGGGCGAGACAAGAGAGGTCTGCTGCGTCATGTAGGTAGCTCCCTGGCCAGCCAGGATCGAACCCACGCTGCAGAGGCCGCAGATGGCTTCAAAGCGCTGCGCTTAACCCACTGTGCCACCGGGGAGGCCCTGAATTTTCTGATATTTTAATATCAGTGGTGATAATAACATACCTGGTATCTTTGTTTTCTGTAATCATGTTACTGCTAGATTATTAATTTAAACATATTTCTGTTTTTGTTATTGTCTCTTTTGCTGTGCAGAAGCTCTTTAATTTGATGTAGTCCCATCTATTTATCTTCGCCTTCACTATCACTGCTTTGGGTGATGTGTCTGTAAAGATGTCTTTGATGTGCAAATCACGTAGTGTTTCGCCTATATTTCCTTCTATATATTTTATGGTTTCAGGTCTTATGTCTAGTTCTTTAATCCATTTTGAGTTGATTTTTGTGTATGGTGTGAGGTAGTGGTCAAGCTTCATTCTTTTGCATGTAGCGACCCAGTTTTCCCAGCACCATTTATTGAACAAACTTTCTTTGCTCCAATGCATAGTCTTTGCTCCTTTGTCAAAGATTAGTTGACCATAAATCTGTGGGTTTATTTCTGGATTTTCTATTCGATTCCATTGGTCTGTATGTCTGTTCTTGTTCCAATACCATGCAGTTTTGATGATTATGGCTTTGTAGTAGAGTTTGAAGTCTGGGAGTGTGATGCCTCCATTCCCTTCTTTTTTTTTCAGGAGAGCTTTGGCTATTCGGGGTTTTTTGTGATTCCATATGAATTTCATCAATAATTGTTCTATTTCTTTGAAGAATGACATTGAAATTTTGATTGGAATAGCATTGAATCTGTATATTGCTTTTGGAAGGATGGCCATTTTATTTATTTTTTTTTTAATATTAAATTTTATTTTTATATTCCCCCATACAATTGCAAACGCCCCATTCTGACCCCAATCCTTCCCCTCCCGCCCCCCACCCCCCAACAAGTGTCTCTGGTTCATAGTTTTTTGTTGATTTTGATTTTCACTTTCTTATATTCATTTTCCTGGTCCCTTATTTAAGTTTTCTAGATTCCTGCTATGAGTGAGACCATCCGGTATTTTTCTTTTTCTTTTTGGCTTATTTCGCTGAGCATGATCCCTTCCAGTGCCAGGATGGCCATTTTAATAATGTTTATTCTTCCAATCCATGAGCAGGGGATGTCTCTCCATTTCTTTGTGTCTTCTTCTATTTCTTTTAACAGTGTTTTATAGTTTTCTTTGTATAGGTCCTTTACCTCTTTTGTTAGATTTATTCCCAAATATTTGATTTTTTTTGTTTCAGTAACGAAAGGGATGGTTTTTTTGATTTCTTCTTCTTCAGATTTATTGTTTGTGTATAGGAACCCCACCAACTGGGAGAACATTTTTGCACCCAACACTAATGATAAAGGACTGATCACAAAAATCTGCAAAGAGCTGATGAGACTCAACAACAACAAAGAAAATAATCCAGTCAAAAAATGGGCAGAAGAGCTAAAAAGAAACTTCTCAGAAGAGGAAATGCAAATGGCCAACAGGCATATGAAAAAATGTTCAACATCACTTGTCATCAGGGAAATGCAAATCAAAACTACCATGAGATACCATCTTACACCAGTGAGAATGGCACATATTAAAAAAACTAGCAACAACAAATGTTGGCGAGGGTGTGGAGAAAAAGGAACTCTTCTGCACTGTTGGTGGGAGTGCAAACTGGTCCAACCACTGTGGAAAGCTGTGTGGAGATTTCTGGACCTACTAAACATAGAGCTTCCATATGATCCAGCAATTCCACTCCTAGGTATTTACCCAAAGGACACAGAAACATCAATTCCAAAGAACACCTGCACCCCTATGTTTATAGCAGCACTGTTTACAATAGCTAAGCTTTGGAAACAACCCAAATGCCCAAAAATAGATGACTGGATCAAGAAGATGTGGTACATATATACCATGGAATATTACTCAGCATTCAAAAAAGATAAACACATGCAATTTGCAGCAACATGGATGGCGCTGGAAGGGATCATGCTCAGTGAAATAAGCCAAAAAGAAAAAGAAAAATACCGGATGGTCTCACTCATAGCAGGAATCTAGAAAACTTAAATAAGGGACCAGGAAAATGAATAACTATAAGAAAGTGAAAATCAAAATCAGCAAAAAACTATGAACCAGAGACACTTTTAGGGGGGCGGGGGCGGGAGGAGAGGGATTGGGGTCAGAATGGGGGGGCTGCAATTGTATGGGGAATATAACAATAAAATTTATTATCTAAAAAAAAAAAAAAAAAGCCAGAATTCTATGCCATGCAGTAATGGAAAGTATTAATTCAATGAATTGCTATAATTAAAATTGACCTTAATTGAAAAAAAAAAATATTTCTGACCCTTTTAGCTGATATCAAACAAAAGAATTCTCTGTTGTAATTTATATAAACAATTACTTTTTTCCCCTCTGCTACCCACTCACTATTCTTACTACACTCTCTTAAATAACCAGAGTTAACATTTTCCATTCTTTTCTGCATATTCCTAAAATGTGCCCACCCATACATTAAGTACATATCATATGTGGTAATCATCGATGACACAGTATTCTGCAATATCAAGTTATGGCTATCTATTTAATGGATACCAATATTATATAAATCATTTCACTGGTATATTTTATGAAATATCTAAATCAATATCTAAGTAATGCTAAATCTGAATATAGATAGCTAAATGTGTGTTAAATGTGTGCAAAATATACATGTAGAATATGTTAAAGAAAGGTTGACCTATTTGTGCATGACTATGTTCTGATAAAACTTATCACACTGTAATTAGAATTCATATACTTTAAACATGTCACAAGATATTCTTGTTTTTATTGATTTTCATCCCTTTCGAACTGTAAAAAACATTCTTAGCTCATGAGCCAAAAGCAAGTTACAGGCCAGATGTGGTTTTTGTTTTGTAGTTTTTTGATCACTGCTTTAGATGCTTCATTCATTTTTAGAGCAATTAAAAAAGCATATCTTGGACCTCCCTGGTGGTGCAAGGAGTTAAGCACCTTACTCTGAAACAATCCCCAGCCTCTACAGCATGAGTTCGATCCCCGGCCGGCCAGGGCTCCCCACATGGTGCAGCAGACCTCTCCTGTCTCGCCGCTGCTCCCCTTAGCAGTGTATTTCGGTCAGTCTGCCTGTTCTGTTCCCCACTCTGTCTCTGGTGAATCCTCTCACCCCCCACATCTCCGGCCTATACCCCAGGTCTCGTGTGCATGAATGAATAGATCTTTAAAAAAAAAATCTTTAAAAAAAATATCTTCTAAATTTGACTTTATTTTACCATTTCCACAGCTCTTAATTCTTTCTGTAGGTCTACATTTTTATCTGATATATTCTTTCTGCTTGCAGAGCTATGTTTCACATTTTTGTTACTGCAGGTCTGCGGTGATGGATTTTTCTCAGTTTCTATCTATCTGAGAAAATATTTCACTGTCAGTATTGAATAATATTTTCTTTGGGTATAGAATTCTCACTTGAAATATTTGTACAGCTTATCCACCTTTTTTCTCCTTGTTAGAGTGAGAGTACACTTCCCAGTTTCTACAAGTAGGCAAAAGTAGAATTTATGGATTCAATTTGAAAAATCATTACCATAAAAATAGTATGCATAATTTCTTAATCGCCTGTCCAAAGCAATAGCTTCATAGTGGATTATTGTTCATGATTTTCTCAATCATGTATTCAACTTAATTTAAATAAGATCACCAATTTGTTTCCAACTTAGCCAGTGACTCATATGTTACAGATGTTACATGCATTCTTTTTTCTAGAAGTGAAACAACTGAAATCATTGTATTTTCTCCTTAATACAGGGTACTAGTTGCTTCCTGCGCTGGGTCAGAAACCTGGATGATGAGCTGCATGCAATTATAGCTGGTAAAACACTGATATATAATGAATTATTATTGTATCAATGAATGGTAGAAATGAGCCAGAAATAGTTTACAAATTAATCTGATTTCTATATATCTTCCATTCTCTGTGACAGAATAACTACTAAGGCACTAGTCCAGACATTTTGTATTTGCAAAATTTAACATCAAGGCACTCTTGCCATCTAGTGTTTTGAGTTTGCTATTGCCAATGTAATGACTTGGGTATCTGCCCTGCTATAGGCAGAATCCTAGGGAATGTGTCGTAAAAAAATGTAAAGACTTAAAATATTTACCAATAAATAGTTAATGGAATCACAAATATCTTAAAACAATCTATTTTATCACTGACAAGCAATGTATTTTAATAATAACTTTTTATTCTTAGAAGCTTAACCAATTAATAAAAATAAAAACTAAAGACTTTTCTATATGTACAATGTATGTAGTACTTAAGCATGCAATTTTTCAGATATTTATTAGTAATGTTTCTGTTATAGAATGTCAGACCTCCCTCTCCCAGCTTGGTTTACCACTTGCAGAATGAAGGCAATAGAAAAATACATGAATAAATATTTCCTCTTAAGATGAGAAATGACAATATAAGCTTGTGAAATTCATTATGAAAATCAATTTAAAATTAATGTGCTAAGAAGTCACTCCATTTAATGTCATCAAATGTATTATTGTCCTTGATTTTATTGTAACAAATTTTATTGCTACAGATAAATTCTTCCCGTTTAAGTGAATGAGCATTTTCTAATGACATTGATAACAATGAAATACTTTGAGATCTGATAAGTTTTTGTTGTTTCAGGATTTTTGGCAGGTGTATCAATGATGTTTTATAAAAGCACAACAATTTCCATGTATTTAGCTTCCAAGTTGGTAGAGGTAAGCAAACATTTTTATGCATGTGCAGTTAGCAAAGGCTATGTTAGAGCTGCCTTAGTTGCTTAAGCTGCAAACATATACCCAATTACCAAAGCAAATTCTAGCCCTATAAAATGTCTCACAAAGCTAGTTTTCCTATTTTTCCCTTTTTTGTGTGTGTGAATATACACAATTGTGAAAGGAATAGTGCACTTAACCCTGATATATCTGTCATACAGTTCAATGGTTTCAGCATTTGGCCAGTTTAGCTTCACCTGTACTGTCCTGTCCTCCACCTGCTGATTTATTTCAGAGCAGATCCCAGACATCATACCACTTCATTCTTAAACAATTCAGGATAAAAACTCATTAAAAGCAAACAAATTAGTATTACTATTGAAGAGTAACCATAATACAATTATCATACTTTAAAAAAACCTATATTATCAGATATCTAATTAGAGCTTGCATTTTTACTGATTGTCCCACAGATGTCTTGATGCAATCCCTGGGTTTAAATTGGGATCCAAAATACTTTTTGTTTATAATAATTCCCCCTCTCACCTTTTTACTTCCTTTTCCTCTCTATTATCTGTTGGAGATCTAGGTGATTACTTATTTGGAATTTCTCACATTCTGGGTTCTATTTTTGGTTTATGTGTGTGGCAGAAATAACTTAGATTTATTGTGTATGTGAATTCCTACTGCATCACATTAAGAAGCCCAAAAATGCTTGGTTGTCTTCTTTTTTATGATGCTAAGTTTGGTCAATGGGCTCAGTATTGTTACAGCCAAGGTAAGGTTCCCTGTTAGCCTTTCACCTAGCCCTTTTCGCAGTCATTAATGATCATTACTAAGATGCTGTTATTTCGCTGAGGGCTCTAAAATGGTAATGAGCTAGTATTTTTTTTTTCTGCCCTTATTAGAGGCAATTCTAAATAAAACGTTTCCCTTTTAACTGTTTGGTCTCTTGGGACTATATTGTTCACGTGGCCATGACAAAATGATCACTTCCCTTTATTTACCAGCCATTGGAGGGTTTTAAGCGTGGTAGAAATGACTTAATTCACATTGGCTGTGTGGTATGGCAATAGCACCTGAAAGGGGAGCTCTTATACCTCTAAATCATACACAATATTGTGAACTAATATTGCCTTAATAAAAAAGAATAATAAAAACAGAAGCGCATTCTTGCTATGCTATGGAGGATGGATTACAGAGAGGCATGATAGGCAGCTAGGAGAGCAGTTAGTCCCAGGCAGGACAAAGTGATACAGTAAAGCAGAAATGGAGCTGAGTGTACAGATTTGGTGCGTATTTATAAGAGAATGAACAAGACTTGCTAATGGAGAAGAAAAGGGGAGTGAGCAGAAGAAAATAACCTCTAGCTAGCAAAAACATATTCTTTAACACAGGAGAAATGTAATTTTGAGGTCTAGTTTGTGAGAGAAATATTTTGCAGCTGCTTCCCTATATAGCCAGAGTTTCTTAAGCCAGCCAACCATACGCCTCTGTTTCTCATGCCATATAACCGTATCTGACCTTGGCAAAGGAAACTGGCATATAAACTGTGCTGGCGAGAACTTTTTTTTTTTAATATAGGGAATTAGAAATATAAACTTTTAGTGTCTTTTGTTGAAGTGATGATTTTGGTTTAATGGACAATCATTTAAATTTTTTTATTGTCTGATAATGTATTTTATTGTCTGATAATATGAAGTAAAAATAAGTTGCATTGGCAGTTCTTTTCCTCAGAAAAGTCATTTCTAAAATATAATTATTGAGTATATATTATAGTCCCATTACTGTGCTAGCTGCTGGTAAACATAAAAGTAGAGGATATGGTCCCTGCTGGTGCCTAACTCAGAATCTGATTCAGTAGAAAAATTTTATTATGTTATTTTAATAAAAACAAATGGGAAAAAATGGGGAACACAATTATTCCATATATCACATTTCTATTGCGCTTATTCTAGCACATCTGAATTTAATTGTTTTTCAAGATGAATACACTACAATGTATCTGTATCTTATAATACAATGTTGTTTGCAAAATAATGGTCCATGTGATCACTTACCTTGTTTCCCAAGTAGATTGTAACTGTCTATCTTGCAGTGTTTATATAGCCCAACCCCTAATCGTTTAACATATATTTGTTTCACATTACATACTCTTTGCTCCATTCATATGTTAAGTCCCCTCACTGTCTCCTTTTGTTGCTCTCCCTGTAATCAGGGAAGCTTGTATTGAGCAGTCAGGATTTTTTTCATGGCAAATCAGTTGAGATATTACTAAAAATATTGGGTTGTTGGAAAGTCATAATGTATTTTTTCTCTGTTTTTCAAGCAACATGACTTTTGTGAAAACTCAGTATATTTACTCAGCAAATATTTAAGTACCACACAGTCTAAGATAGGTGTGGACCATCAGACAAGAAGGTTGTTGCCATCTGTCAGTGACTTCATCTTAGTTCTCATACTCCTTGCATTTCCCTCTACCCTGTTGTAACTCACTTGGTCTACTTTGCACTTTTCTTGCTATTTTTACTTTACCTGTCCCGTGAAAACTCAGTTCCCTGAATTACCCAGTGTTCTACTATAAATTTGCCTACAGAACCCCATATATATCATCCACTTGCATTCTACTCACTGCTTCTTGTCCTCTTACCTTGTTGTTGATCCTATGCTTCTTATACAAAACTGTGGAAAATGTGAGCAACATACTGATGCTAGTTCACGACCTGTTTCTCACCAATCAATGACAGGATAAGTATAGAAATTGAGAGTGAGCACAGCAGTTGAGCGTTGGGTTGCAAAGCTGCCTGCAGCCTCTGCAGCGCAGGTTCGATCCCCTGCCACTGGGCGAGGATCCCACATGGCGCACGGACCTCTTCTGCTGCACCTGCTGCTCCCCTCAGCAGTGTATTTCGTCAGTCTGCCTGTTCTGTTCCCCACTCTGGCTCTGGTGAATTCTCTCACCCTACTGTGCTTCTGACTGTGCCCAGTGCTTGTATCAATCAATCAATCAATCAGTCTTTAGAAATTGAGAGTGAGCATTTGGAACTTTTATTACAGTTTGACAGTAATTTGTCTTTTGAATGTGCTTGTAAAAATTTGCTTCAGTGTTCTGGCTTTTAAATTTATTTTCTACTAGTTCATTTTTATTGCATTATGAGACTATTAAGTCATGAAATTGGATTTTTTTAAGGTAATTCTTTATTACAGATGGTTTGAGAAACACTACTTGACTGTAGTAATTTCTGAAATTCTTGATTCTCTTTGGTCCTTTGTCCTAGGAAGAGTAGCTCCCCCCTTTGGGGGACCCCTAAACAATACTGTGTCTCTGACTATATATCTGTATCTATATACCTCTGCCATCTGTCTATCTTATAAACTCATTAGAATACACTAGATATCTCTGCTATGAATGATCATATTTTATTCATTTTTAAATCCCTAACTCCTGGCACAGGATGCAGCATATAGTTAATGCCATTAAATATTTCCTGAATGAATAAATCTAACAGGGAAAGGAAGACCTGAGCATTGTCCAAAAGGTATTAAAGAATAAGGGGCACAGAAGAGAGGGCAATGAAGTGCTGTTGGATTTGGCATCTGGGGCTGGGGGTGAGAGAATGAGGGAAGGGGACAGGCTAGCGCTTAGCGTTGTCCTGGAAGCGGGGGCTATAATTTGAGCTCCAGAAAGCTTATTAGAATTTTGAAAAGTAGAGAAAATAATTGTAGATAGAGAACATATTGCTTAACTCAATCTTTTGTTATACTTATTTTGCAGACAATGTATTTCAAAGGCATTGAAACAGGAAAGGTTCCCTATTTTCCCCATGCAGATACCATCATCTATTCCATCTCTACAGCAATTTGCTTCCAGGCAGTAAGTATAGCTTTTTGAAATGAAAAATAGAATTAATTATGTTTCTAATGTACATTAAACAAATGGGGGAGAAATAAAGGCCTAGAACATTTCTATTTATTACATTTTATATATATATATATTTTTTTAAAGCAAGATAGCTTGCACATGTTAACTTAATGGGCCAGATCACGTTTAATGCATATGCTGATTTTTAGGTTTAAATAGAGTGCATTATTTTAACAGGCAAATTATTACTCTAGTACTTTGGCTAGAGTGCCCCAATTTAATTGTCCTCCATCTAGAAAAAGATACCACAGTCATAAATTGCATCACCCCAATATTATTAGTCAATGAGGATGGGGAAAGAATGTAGTTTAATAGAAGCAGTATCTAATTTATTTAAATTCTGTAATCATCATATTGCTGTTGATAGTTTTAGGATTGTTACAAGTTTTGGAGACTGCTTTTATTTGTTCTTTATCACAGTAATGCTGCCTAGTTGATAAACTTAGTGTAACTAGTAAAGTACCAGCTAACTAATGGTATTTGGTAGATTCTTACTAAATAATGACAAATCAATTATTATTTCATAAGCAATATTGGAAGGCACATTTACAAAGATGCTTAATAGCTATCAACTTAAACATAAATACATATTTTTGTTATTGTCATATCTCTGTCATTTTAAAAATGCAGTCAGCAATGAAGGGATAAACTGCTTTCTTGCTATAATATTTACTATTTATTGAAAGATATCTCAAATTGAATAATCTTAGGCTGTCATGGAAGTTCAGACTTTGCGACCATCTTACTGGAAGTTTCTTTTAAGGCTCACCAAGGGCAAGTAAGTGTCTGTGATTATTTTAACTGATTGTAGAAAACAGCAATTTCTGCAAAAATGATTTTGAATCTTTTTGTCACGAGGGAATATCTTTTATTGATAAAGTAGGTATCCAGAAATAAATAAGTCTGAAAAATGCATTAAGAATAGCATGAGGAATTCTTTTATTTTGAATATTCTCTGTAATATTTTAGATATTTTAAGTGTTCATGCTACTAAAATGTTGATTTTAACTGTTAATGAGTTGCTACATAACATACTTAAGTCTTACTTTTAAAATCTTTAACTTTTTTGAGTAAAAATATTAAATTACTTAGAGATTCTGCCTCAGTAATTGACTCATTGCCATTTTGGAAAAATAATTGTATCTGTTGTCTGATCTTATAATGCATATGTTCTTTTGCTTTTACTAGCATATTCTTTTGTTTTACCGTTTCCTGATCTTAATCCAGTTCTTCGGGAGGCAGCTTAACCTTCTAGAAAGAGCATAGGCTTTGCAGTCAGACAGCCTTCCTTTTGCTTCCAGCTCAGGTTCCTTTAGCTTTGTTGCTGTGCTGAGTTCTTTGCCCACATGAGACTCAATTTCTTTATCTCTTGCAATGAAACAGTAATTCATACTCTGTATAGTTGGGGCGGGTGGGAGGGAATGAGATGTTCATGGTAACAGTAAGCATTTCATAGGCACTTAATGAACTGTAGCTGCTATTAATTTTACCATCATTAATAGTAATAATAGGGCCTCCCTGCTGGTGCAAGGGGTTAAGCACAGTGCTGTGAAGCTGTCCACAGCCTCTGCAGCACAAGTTCGATCCCTGGCCATCCAGGGAGAAACCCACATGGCACACACACCTCTCCTGTCTCTCCCGCTACTCCCCTCAGCAGTGTTTTTCAGTCAGTCTGCCTGTTCTACTCCCCACTCTGTTTCTGGTGAATCCTCTCACCCCCCGCACTTCTGGCCTGTACCCCAGCTCTTGTGTACATAAATAAATCTTTAAAAAATAGTAAGGGCCTCCCTGATGGTGCAGGTGGTTGAGCGCCGCACTGTGAAGCTGTCCGCAGCCTCTGCAGCGCAGGTTCGATCCCGGCTGGCCAGCGAGAATCCCACATGGCGCAGCAGACCTCTCCTGACTTGCCCACTGCTCCCCTCAGCAGTGTACTTCGTCAGTCTGCCTGTTCTGTTCCCCGCTCTGTCTCTGGTGAATCCTCTCACCCTCCCGTGCATCTGGTCTGTACCCTGTTCTTGTATAAATAAATAAATCTTTTTAAAAATAGTAATAGCAAGTATTAACAGTGTTTACCATGTTCTAGTTATGGTTTTAAGATAACACATATATGTACCAACATATGCATGCATGATATGTGTTTGATCCTTAAACTAGCTCTCTGAGATAGGTACTGTTCTTACCCCAGTTTTACACGTGAGGAAACATACTCACAGAGAGGTTAGAGAGCTTGTCAGAGTGACACAACTAGTAAGTGATGGAGCTGGCATGATCTGGTTTCAGAATTCTTTCTTTGTCATTTACTTTTCCTCATGTGAATTAATTTGCCTTCTAATCATTAAACATTTGCCCATTTGGAGGTGTTTTCCTTGTTGATTGTAAGACATTAAGATGTCAGTTATGAGCATTTAATGTCTTTGTCTCATTGGTAAATATTAGCTAATTCATTTTTTTAGTTGGTTTTCTGTGATTTCACCAGAAAAATTATCAAGAGTCTGTCTTTCCATTTGACACACTCTCGTGGAAGGGACTCTGGTAGGTTTGAAATGATGCTGTAATCCCTGGGGTTTCAGGTGTGGGGATTCTCTCTTTGAATAAAACATGCGACAGTGAATGTTGAAAAAGAGTAGTGCTTGGGGCATTGGTCACATCAGTCTTTCCTGTTCCCCACCCCATGAAAGAAAAATCCAATAGACGAGTCATTTTTTTGGTAAACTTTATTAAATGCTATTCACTGTGTCCTCTGTTTTACAGATTTGCTGTCATGAACCGCAAAGTTCTTGATGTTTTCGGTACTAGTGCATCTAAACACTTTCAGGATTTCGTCCCCAGGTTGGATCCAAGATACACGACTGTAACACCAGAGCTGCCCGTGGAACTTTCTTGAAGAGAATTGTGATTTATTAATATGACTTAATGGTTCATTCTTTTATCCTGAAAAGTTAATTAGGTGGAACACAGGAAAGGGGGCCTGAGCTTGAACTTCAGTGTTATTTCAGTGAGAGATGCTCTTTTTTTTTTTTTTGTTCGTTTTTCTTACCAATCAGAAATGCAGAAGCTTTTTAGGAAGGTGTTGCTTAATAATTAAGCTCCCCGGTAGCCAGAATCTGATTCGGGATCACTGTAGTGATTGACATTATGATATATTATTGATTAAATTATGGCCACAACAATATTAAAGAATCTATATAGAAATGTAGTGATAACTAAGAATATACTTAAAATTACTTTAAAAGATGTTTTTAGTTCATTCCAATATAATTCTTGCTTAAAACTAAGAGTATTTCTTCATTGTAGAATACAAAGGATCACGGGTACATGAATTTGATCTGTATTTTTTTTAACTATTGAATTGGTAACTATAGTAGTGAAATGTTATGGATATGAAGTAACTCTTCACAGACAGTGCTGCTTTAGTATAGAGCAATTGAATTGTGCAAAGTGGCCATTCTGACTTCAGGGATACAAAACAGGTCTCATACTGTTTGGGTCAATGCCGTGGTATCCATGTTCTCCTTCCACTGATAACTTCATCTCTCTCCAAGATCTGTTGGATTATAATATGTACTAATGTCAAGTGAGGAGCGAGTAGAAATTGACATAAAGTTCAAATGTATGCTTTAAACTTTAAAGAAGCATTAACTTGAATATTTGAAAACAAATGAAGCTACCTTTAAACCTCCTGAAGGTTTATTTATTTGTTTTCATTTATGAGGTTTGAGTTCATAGCTGATTTGTATGCCATTGTTGATTCAGAGGGGATCAATATCCTATGGAACAAAAATTTTTGGCAAATCTGAGTGTTTATTCCCCTTCAACTGTTTCACATATAAAAACAGATGTTTCACAACTGCAAACAACGACAACCAAAAAATCAGTGGTGGTTAAAAATTTCATTTCATCAATAATTAAATTCAGGTTCTCCAGTCTTTTCAAAAAGTCGTCACCATATTTACTCTTTTAAAATGAAGAACTGACAAAAACGTAGTCACTGCCAATTGTGAAAGATAGTTCAGTACAGATGTGATTGAAATATGATCACTCTGAGGAGTTTTTCAGGGAAAAGTTATACTTTTCTAAGTTTAATAAGAGGCTGAAGTGATTGTGATATAGTTAATGTAGCATATAGGGAATTATGGTATATTTTTTTAATATAATTTTGTTGCTGAAAAGTTTTAAGCTGTTGTGAATTATGCACTAGAACTTGTGTTGCAACAAGAATTATAACGTAGACTTTTAAAATACTTAGTCCTCCATATTCAATTTCAAGCCTTGTGTACTTCTATTTATATGTAATTCTGTCCTTGGTTTTTATGGCAAATTGACACCCAGCAAAATAGACAGACTCTGGTACCATGGTAACCACTTTAATTTGGTCAAAATTCAGAGCCACTTTAATTTGGTTAAAATTTTGCATTGTGACTAACTTTTTAGAATTGACTTGTCTACTAGGCAATACTGTTAAAGGATGGTTTTGGTTTCATATTTCAAAATTAATAAATTAAGTTTTAAGGTTTTATTCACTGGAATTAACATGATGATTGGTGCTGTGTTTACTTTTTAAAGGAAGTGTTAAGGCTGAAGAAAGCGCTGCTACCTGCAGCTCATAATTTCTCTACAGAAATTTATATTGATAATATTTTCCTGTCGGGTTAGAAGAAAAACATTTTAATCCATAAATTATTATTTTCATTGGCATTAAAAGACTATGGTATTGAAAGACAAACTCTACTAATATTTGATGAGATTTTTTTAGTAAAATTTTACTGATCAAACTGCATTTCTATGATTTACTTTTTAAAACAAACTACTGTCATCTTTTATTTCATTAAAAATGTAAAATGAAATAACCATGATGAAGCAGAATACAAAATGAATATATAGCTTGAATGGCTAGTTAGCTCATTTGCAGTGGTGAATAGAGATGTCTAATTTGATTTTATCCAAACAGGCCTCAAAGTATAGTTGTTTGAACAAACACAGAGAAATTGTGTTTGTGGGCCAGAAGGCAATCAAAATGAATTATCTCTCTACCTCTAACTAACCAAGTATTGATCACAACTTGGCATCTTGAGTAAAATCAAATCAATGTCTCCATTCCAAAACATGGTTTTTGGTCTATTTATATGCTGAAGAAATAGGGTAAGTTTCCACCCAAACTGAAAGCAGTGACATTGATATGCCTCCTTAGTATTTCCTACATCTTTATGCAGCCTGAGAGACAGTGGGTTGGAGCATTAGTGTTATGGTGTTTTATCACTATTTCCTGTATTAATGAAATTCAGGAGCTACTACCGATCAAGTAAAGACTTAGGTGACAAGATAACACACTATTTCAAATCTATCAGCCTCTTACTTCTTTTTTTGCCAAATGGTTTTAGTCTGTTTTGTTGTTCATCTTTTTTCATCAGTTCTGTGGTTCCTTCTGTAACTTTTTCATTTACCTATAAACATTGTCACTGAATTGACATCTAGGTTTTTTTTTTTTTTTTGCCTTTTTTTTAGTCAGTTATTTACTTTAGAATTTTATCTTTTGTTCTTTGCTCTCAAAATTTATAATTTACTTTTTTCTAGATTGAATGTATCTTTATGATGAAACCCAAATCGATCAACTCTCACACAGTATTTTATTATTCATTTCCTTGTGGTTGTAGCTAAGCTAACATCTGACTTAATTATCAGTGCCAACAGAATGGTTAATGTTCATACTTTATCACATCCCTTAGTTTCTAAATCCAAACCACTGTTAGTGAGATACAATGTGTTTTTATTCTCATCTGCTTGTTCCTGTCACTCCCTCCTCTGTGGTGAGGAAGCTTCTCAGCCAGGCCATAGGGGCTGGACATGCCCGCTGAGAGCAGTGTCTCCGGTGCTCTTACCAAATAAACTTACAAGCCCATAGACTTCTCGAATTCTCCCTGGGATTTATTTATTATTTATTTTTTTATAAGTAGAAAGTAGTTTGACAGAGCAATAAAGTCATTTTTCAATGGATGTGTTCTTTTGGTCCATAAATGCAAAAGTCTTTATTTCTGAATTGTGACCTTGCTAAGATAGCTGATGAACTTTATCTCTCCTGACACCTTGGCCTCTTGATGCTTGCTATCCAGTCTTAGGTAAAGGTAACCTGTCCATCCATTCTTAGATAACCAGATAATTTAGGTAAGTGTAATTGAATGTCCAAGGAAAAAAAACATAAAAGGTAAATATTTTCTATAAAGCTGGTCTGAGACTATGATGAAAAATCCCCTAATTTAAGGTTAGCTGAATTGTGGCTGCCCAGGAATCTGTTCTTAATTTGTCTCAAGTTTGTACCTCTCTCTGTATAACACTTACCTCTCGGATACTTAGCTAGTGGTAAGGCCTGAGCTGACTGTGAGATCATGGCCATGGGCTCGGATTCTGGTGGTACTTTCTTCAAGCTGGGATGTGGAGATCTTGGGGTTCAGCCTGTAGAATTTCCTGCTGTAGCATCAGGCTTTGTAATAGCTTTATAATTAAGAAAAGAAATGAGACTAGTATCAGTGTTTCTGGAAGCAGTAGAGGGGCAGAACTTGGCCAAGAGGTAGCAGCTGTCCTGGTAGTACAATAAGGCAGTCTGCACCCCAGTGCTTACAGATGTGTTGAGTGAGAATGTGTGCTTGTGTCACACTGAAGGACTGGAGGAAAGAATTCGATGCCTGGTGTCCGCTGTCTTAGACATTGAAATGTGGCTTTCTTGTCATCACTTGTCTCGGTCCTCGGCTCTCTCCTCCTTCCTAGCTTTGGGGTCCTTATGTCTAGTCCAGTCTTGTTGCCCCTCCCTGCTCTGCATACCTGTGCCTGCTGCTTTTCACATGTTGGCTGGTGTTTCCTTCTAACTGTGCCCCTTGACTGCGAGCCCGTGTTGCCCGTTGCTGGAGCTGGCCAGGAGGTGCTCTCAGAGGGTCTTAAGAATTCAGTAAACATCTCAAGGGACAGTTTTGCTTGTCTTAGGCAGAAAAGTTTGGAGGATAGTTGTGCAGATGTGAAGAGAGGTGTTTCTTTGAACCTGGGCTCTTTAATTCAGGAAAGTCAGTCTCTCCTGAGTAGTCCCGTGACATCATCTGACTGCTGTGGCTACTTGGAGGGTGGGAACTCATCTTTCACTGCTTATTGCTTTCTCCATTTTCTTCCCACCTCTCCTTCAAATGTGTCATCTGTGAAATAAAATGTTGGGTTTTATCCTTTGTGCCTACAGACCTGAAAATTTCAGTAGTTATACAGATCTAGGCCATGCCGGAGCTGTCAGGACATGCGTGCTTTGTACCTTTTCTCTGGCACACAACACTGCAACTTTTCTGTCAGTTTTGTGCCCCTTCCACTGCCCAAGCAAAACATTCTAATGGTGTTAGAAAGCCCTCAACTTCAAATGGTAAGATGTGCCCTGACTTGGCACAAAATGTGCTTTAACCTGCCTTGCTGAGCCTCAGCATCCTTCTGTGGCCAGGGAAGTGCAGGCTTCCACGATTGGCTGAAGCCACTCAGGAATATTATTTTCCTCCATCCCTTGATTCAGACCAAGTAATTTCTGAGACCGATTTCCCAAATCTATTAAACTTTTCTGTCATTAATCAACCTCTTAAATGAACTTCCCTTTCAGATTATTCTCAGTCACACAGGAGGATCTTATTAGCAAGGAATTGTGAGAAGAGTTGGTGTCGAAGGCTAAAAAGATTTAAAGCATGAAGCAGTGCTGCTCATTATGCACAATGCGGGTGCCAAAAGAGATGGCAAGAGGAGACTGTGAGCTCATTGCAAGTCTCTCTCTTTCCTCCTACCTCTCTTTTTTTTTTTTTTAAAACCTCCCAAGCCTGTGCCTTTTATTCTATTTTTTTAATTTATTTCTTTAGCTTTAGTTCTTAAAGGAATTTTTTCCCCCTGTTCATTCAGGGCAAGTTGAAAGTGGTCAGGTAAGAGCCTGAAGGGATGCTCTGTTGGGTTTGTTAAAAAAAAAAAAAAAAAAGAATTTTTCTTTCTCCTCTCAGAAGTCAGCCAGAGATTCAGAGTGGAACTGTTTACATTTGTCCCAGTGACATGTGTGACAGGTATACACTTAACCAAACTTAGCCCAGTGAAAAGAAACCCTCTATGGGGGTGGGGAGCAGCAGCAATTTTCCTCAGACTTATTAAAGTAGGAACCATGTCTGCAAGCATCTTTATAAATATAAACCACTGGTAGAGTAGCAGCCACTGGTCAAAGCAGGTATTGGATGATGGTACTCACTTTGTCAAAGTTATTTGTTATTTGTGGAATGAATGATTGGCCTTGTGAGGCCTAAGAAAGGATGGCAGTGATTTCCTCACTTAAGTTTCAAATCTGTCCAATGTATTAATATTAAGAGTGTTTTATGCAAATGAAATTTTTACCTTCCTTTTGAAATTTAATTTGTAATATAAGGCAAAATCTGCAAAGCCATAGGAAGAAGCAGAGTATAGTTTTTGCAAGTTTGCCATTCTCAGGAATAGCAGTAGATTCACTTAAGGCCTAAAAGGGGAAGATAAATAAGTCTGCAATAATCTAGAAGTTCCATTGAGTCATTTGAGAAGTCTTTTTTTTCACACTAGAACTCTTCTTGTTACTTGGATTAAAGTTAACAAAATGCGATTGTAGTCATTGTGAGTTACTCACCTAATCACTGCTGGGTCCTCTTCCTTGCTGACAGAACACTGATGATGTTTAAGCAAACAGTATGACTAGTTCCAGGGAAATAATTGTAATTTTTCTAGTCTTTTCATGTTATTCCTTTCTTCTTTTTCTGATATTTTCCAGCCTTTCTACTGAAGGTGTTCATGTGACCCAGTTTGAGCCAATAAGATAGAATAGAAAATCTGGGACACTCAGGGAATTTTTTTCTCCTTGATTAAAGGAAAATTCTTATCAGAGCCCTCCTTTTTATTTTTTTCCTTGCGTTCTTGAGAACTCTAGTTATTAGTATCTAGATCTGTGAAATGGTGTTCCATAGATAAGGTAAAAAGTATAAAGAAAAAAAAAGTCAGAGCAGAAAAATGGGAAGAACGTGTCTTCCGGATGACATTCTTGAGCCACTGAATATATACATAATAGTAACCATATACCTCTGAGCATTTCTTAGACAATCACTTAAGGTTCTGTTAGTCAAGGATTCTGTTATCTTCAGCTAAAAACATTTCTAATTGACACATTCCAGTCTTGTTATAGATCAGGACTCTGATTCATTTTACGCTCTGTCCTTCCCTTCCTTGATTTAGAATTGTTTCTTATCCTTCCCTCCCCACTTCTGCCTGTATCAGGAAATGTTCAGTCATCTCTCTCTAAAGGTTTTCTTGATCTTTTATATCTATCTTCGTTTAGTACTTTGCTAGTACCCATAAAGGATATTCCATTTGGTTCTGCTTAGTTTTGTACTAACCCGTTGCTCCTACATTGTGGTATGTTTTGAAGGGCAAAATCCATAGTCGACCCTTCACCCCTTCCTGCCCTGTCTCAGTAGCTTAATCAGCTTTTATGAGGGTGAGGAGGATAGTGGTCTGAGCAGCTGCTCTTGAGTGCACACGAACTTTGTGGAGTCTACAGACAAAAAAAAAAAAAAATCTACCCTTAGGTCTCCCTATAAGAGTCTGGAAAATATTATCCTTACAAATGATTTTGTAAACATTCTAGGAAATTGGCTTCTCCTACTATTCCAGCAGCTATTGGAGCCAGTTTGGCTGTAGGTCTTAGAAAAGTGATTTGTCATCTGTTTCATTTGTTTGCTTTTTCCTGACAGAGCTAGAATTCTGGATTGTTTCCCACTTAAAAAAAAAAACTTTAAAAACAAGCCCAAATGAGAAGTAGACAGGGCAGGACACAAGACCTTCCTTCCCACTCAGTTTCACAGGGTAAAAATTCATAGGCAGTTTTCCCAGAATTACAGTTTGTTTCCGACTTCTTAATACTGTATTACGATTATTTTTTCTTCCCTGTCACAAAGGTGATTTTAAATACTAGATGGAGGAAGGCTTGGAAACACTCTTATCAGCACAGGCAGGCCCCTAGCGAGTCGCTCCTTCTGATAGTCAATTTTTAGGGGGGAAAGAAGAAAATGAAATATATAATGTGCCTTTGATACGTGGTAGATTGTTTATATCACATTCAATCCTCACAACCTATGACATAGATATTATTTTTTTTGACATAGATATTATTAGTTCTTCTTTTCCAAGGAGAGAACTAGGTGTCAGAGTCTAGTGATTTGATCCACATGGTAATTAATACTAAAATTTGATCATAGATCGTCAAGAGTTAAAAGTTTTCCTTTTTTTCCTGAGAACATAATAGTACTGCAGAAGAAGTAGCATCTTATTCTTCTCTCTTAAATGTAATATTATAATGTTATAATAAAAATCTTGCCTCTAAAAATGGTTTTGATGTTTACTTTCAGCTCAAATAAAAGGATAGGAACTGGAATTACCTTCTCACCTGAAACAACTGAAAAACCTATAATATATGTAAAATAACAGTTTTTAAGACACTGGACATCAAACGGTTTAAAACAGTGATCTCTGAGAGAACAGCCAATGAGTCCTATGATGGCCCCAGCTGTTACCTAAAGAGGGGTTTTAGATTTTTCATATGTGTCTCAGGGAGTAAGAACCACAGCAGAGCCCAGAGGTCTCCTGAGGTGAAGAAATAAACTTGGATGTCCACAGAAACCAAGGTGGATAAAGTTCACAGGGCACAGTGCAAGAGACAAGGGAGCTTCATGGAAGGAAAGCACAGAAATCTAAAGATGGTTCCCACTGAGACTTAAGCTGAGGGCTGAGTATGTGCATGGGAGGGAACTGCCAAGACTGGGCAGAGAACTTCAGAGGGAGCAATCATTGATTACACACAAAGTGATGAATAGTTTGTATTCCTGTGAACCAAAGCAGAAAGTTATAATTGAAGGAACTCTGGATTAGAGTCAGAAAAATATGCATCAGTTGGAGACCAAAACTAACCCTGGACTGCAAGCTGCTCCAAAGCATCAAAACAATTTCTTAGTAACTGGCTTCTAAAACAAAATACAGGAATATAGGGATACAAATATATTGAGTATGCAGTAAGGTAAAATGCAAAATGTTGGGAATCCAATTAAAAAAAAGAGTCATGCAGAAAGCCAACAAATTCAATCCATAAGTGATGTATAATAGAATTTGTACAAGGGGGCATTAAAAGTATGTCATAAATTGCATGAGTTTATCTTTTTTGATTGCTTAGTAATACTCCATGGTGTATATGTACCACATCTTCTTGATCCAGTCATCTATTTTTGGGCATTTGGGTTGTTTCCATAGCTTAGCTATTGTAAATAGTGCTGCTATATGGAGTTGGAAGGGATCATGCTCAGCGAAATAAGCCAGAAAGAAGAAGAAAAATACCGGATGGTCTCACTCATAGCAGGAATCTAGAAAACCTAAATAAGGGACCAGGAAAAAGACTAATTGCAGTAAAGTAAAAATCAAAATCAACAAGCAACTATAGACCAGAGACACACTACAGTGCAGGGTGAGGGGGAGGAGAAGAGGGATTAGGGTCAGAGAAAGGGGGTGGGAATTTTATGGGGAATATAACCAAAATGAAAATGCATACATTATGCAAAAATGAAAAATGTAAGAATTATATAAAATAATTCATAAAGTATATGTCATATTGTCAAGAATGTAGCCCACAAGAAATAGATGCAAGATGGAGCATATTAGTTAGAGACATAGAAGATATAAAAAGGACTAGAACATATCTTAGAAGTGATGAAAAATAAAACATCTCAGGTTAAAAAAGTAACACTGGGAGGGATTAAACAGCAAAAGAAAAGATTATATGTGGATTCCCCAGCCCCCCTTGTTCTCAGGATACCATCTTGGTACCCTGAGTTCCTGCTGGTCAAGCTAAAATGTGGAGTCAGGCAGGGGCCCTCTCAGCAGGACAAAAGTCTTGATATGAAGAACATACAGGAAAACCAGTATCTGCTTAAAACAGCAGGCAGACATTATGGCCAGATTCCCATCACCTATGAGACTACCTTGTCAGAAAGTTAAGTGTCAATAGGAACTAGACATAGGATGTTTTGATCAGCAGAGACAATGGAGCACTACCACCCTCACCCCTCCACCCCACCCCTGCCTCTCCAGGCAACAGCCCCTATTCTCTTCCCCCTAGCTTGTGCCGGACATTTATGCATCCCCAAACCACATCCCCACCACACACAGACTATCGTGCTTACTCAACCCACATACCCACCTTGCACATTCCTCCACACATTCCTCCATGTACTTGTCCACCATCCTAAACCTGACACCTAATGTGACTGCCCTAGAAATACGCACTGCACTCCCTTGAGCCCCTCAAGGTCTCTCTCTACTTGGACTTTGAATTGTCTTTCCTCCACCCTGCACCACTCCCAACATTGCCGCCCCACAAGGTGACAATTGTAGATTGCAAAGATACAGCAATAGTAATTTTCCCAAACTATTTGAAGTAGAATGTGACTGCTAAGTCCCCTTCAGGAAGCTATACATTTATACAATGGCAGTCCTCAAAGGATATGAGGCAAGTGTGAGGAGAGGCGTACAGTATGTTTGAAGACTGGCCAACGCTTTTTCATATTTGAATTATAAACCCACATATCCAAGAAACTCATTGAACTCCAAGAAACATGAAGAGAATCACACTAAGGCACATCTTAATCAGGTTGCTTTAAACCAATGATAAAAAGTCTTGCTAGCATGGGGGATCAGGGAGTGTGTGTGATACATATTGCATATAGACGCGCTCAAGACAGGACACTTACTGAAAACAATGAAAACCAGAAGACAGTGAATGGCAGCTTTAATAAGTGAGAGGTAAGAGAATGAAAAAGGTCAATTTTTCATATAATTCTATATGTGGTGAAACTATGAACAGGCAAAATGCTTTTTAACATTAAAACATGGAAGACATGCATTAGAATATATATTTTTTTAAATCTTTGAAGCATACATAAACACAATGGAATATTACTCAGCAATCAGAAAAGATAAACTCATGCAATTTGCAGCAACATGGATGGCGCTGGAAGGGATCATGCTCAGCGAAATAAGTCAGAAAGAAAAAGAAAAATACCGGATGGTCTCACTCATAGCAGGAATCTAGAAAACCTAAATAAGGGACCAGGAAAAAGACTAATTATAATCAAAATCAACAAGCAACTATAACCCAGAGACACACTGTGGGGGAGGGAGGAGTGGCAGGATTAGAGTCTAAATAAGGTGGGTGGGAATTGTATGGGGAATATAACCAAGATGAAAATGCATGCATTGTGGGAACTTGAAAAATGATGTAAAAAGTATATGAAATAATAATGCAAAAAAATCTTTGAAACATATCTATCAAGTAAAGAAAAAAATGGTAAATAGGTGCATAAATGCAAAAGCCCTTTTGTTTTAAATCTCATTGAAAGATAATTGACTACTGAAAGCAAAATTAATAACTTGTGGAATTTATAAAATAGCAATTAAATTTAGGAAGGAGTAAATGGAAGTATACTATTATAACATTCTATACTTGAAGGAAAACAGCGAATTATTAAAGATATATAACATAAAATCTAAAGTACCCCTCCCTGCCAAGATTTACACTTTATTAAGCCAACAGAAGAAATACAGTAGAATCACAAATAGGTATTTGGTTAATCCAAAAGAAGGAAGAAAAAGGAGGGGGAAAGAACAAAGAGGAAAGGAAAACAGCAGGATGATAAATATTAACTGTAACCATGTCAGTAAGCACTTTCACTGGTCTAGATGGCCCGGTGTTTAATAAAAAAAGACACAGATTGTCACACTGACTAAAAGAGGGTGATACACAGTATGTGTTACTTAGACATGATTCAGTTAAGTCTGAAGACAAAACTAGATTTAAAGTAAAAGTATAAGGAAATGCAATATATATTTATATATAGAGAATATGCGATATGTAGTTTAAAAAAGCAGCTGTGCTGTAAAAGTAAATTGGATTTCAGAACTTGAGATTATTACCATTATTAAAAATCAAATGGTCATTGATGATAAAGAGCTCAGTTCAGCGAGAGGAAATTATAATCCTAAGTATTAATAACAGAACTTCTAAATACAGGAGAAAATGGCTGATAGAACTACAAAGAAATAAGTTGGATATTTCAACACCTTCACTAATTCATAAAACATCAACTATCTTGACTTTTAGAAAGTATTTCAGCAAACAACAGCACAATACACATTCTTTTCAATATTCACTTTTGATAGGGAATATATTCTGGTCCACAAAAGGAATCATAATAAAGGTTTGAATCATACAAACTATATTCTCTGGCAAGTGTTAAAAGAAAAATTAAAAAATAGTGGCTATGTGAAAAACCCTTAAAATTTTGGAAACTATACAATGTGATTCTAATGAACATATTAAATTAAAAATATATTGAAATTTATAGATACAGCTAAGACAGAGCTTAATTGAAAGTTTGTTAAAAAGACCTATGTTAGAAGAAAATTCCCAGATCAATAATCTCAATGTCCATTTTAAGAAGCTGGAAAAACAAGTAAACTGAAAATAAGCAGAAAAAGGAATTACAAGGATGCAGCCAGAAATCAGTGAAACAAAAAAGAAAAAGTAATACAATTTTTTTAAGATTTATTTATTTATTTATACAAGCACTGGGTACAGTCAGAAACGTGGGAGGGTGAGAGAATTCACCAGAGCCAGAGCGGGGAGCAGAGCAGGCAGACTGATGAAGTACGTTGCTGAGGGGAGCAGTGGGTGGCAGGAGAGGTCTGTGCACCATGTGGGACCCTCGCCCAGCAGCAGGGGATGGAACCAGCACTGCAGAGGCTGCGGGCAGCTTTGCAACCCAGTGCTCAACCGCTGCGCCACTGGGGAGGCTCAAAAGTAATACAAATTTTGAACAAACTTAATACAACTGATAAACTTCTAGCCAGATTTGAAAAAAATAAAAAGACAAAGGAATACTAAGAATATGAGCTGTGGGTCCTCCCTGTTGGCACAGGGAGTAAAGCCTCACCTCCATGAAGCTGTCCATAGCCACTGCAGGACGAGTTTGATCCCCAGCCAGGGATTTATCCACATGGTGCAGCAGACCTGTCTCGCCCGCTGCTCCCCTCAGCAGTGGATTTCAGTCAGTCTGCCTGTTCTGTTCCCCACTCTGTCTCTGGTGAATCCTCTCACCCCCCACACCTCTGGCCTGTTCCCCTGTTCTGTTATGCATAAGTTAAATCTTTAAAAAACAATAATTAAGAGGCTAGAATCGCAACCTTGCAGCAGCACCCACTAACCCTTCATGGACCCCCAGTCACAATGGTAAAGTGCACCCTACTAAGCCTGCTGGCACTTCCCAGCATACTAGGGCCCCGTCCTGGCTTCACAGGGCTTTGCTCTGCATCAGAGACCCTTAGCAACAGCTCAGTTGGCACCCCTGAATCCAGGGCAAGCCTCTTCTCAAGAGTTGACAAAGGCCTGAGTCACAGCCTTGCAGAACCTAACTGTTCACAGCCTGCCCCAAGTGGTACGTTGATCCACAGCCTGCCCCAAGTGGTACATTGGTCCACTCAGATGCATAGGGTCTCTGATATCAGGCATATTCAGCAACCCTCTGCACTCCTGACCACCAGAAGTAGGCCCTGAGCCAATGCTTCTGGGTGAGGCAGGTTCCCAACAACTCAGCCTTCTGACTCACCATCACCCCTGACCTCCCAACCACCAGAACAAAGCCTACGAGTTCTTTGGGGACGTTCTAACACCACCCCAGGTCCTACAAGACTCAAGTAACTATAGCCCACCATCAAGTAAACACCTAGAACAGTGGGGGAGAGGGAATCAAACAATAAAAAGCCCCAACTACAATAGAGCAAACCCAAAACAATGGGGAGAAGGGAAAATAAAAATAGCTAAGGAAGCCATGAGAACAATACACCACAGAGAGAAAATCCAGCTCCAGAACCAAACAACATTGACACAGAAGATTTCTTATTCCTGTCAAAGGAATCAAACACCATAATTAAGAAAATCAAAGAACTCAAACTACACAAAGAAAATTGAGAAAAACAGATCAGAAATATACAAGAAAATACAGAAAACAATGCTGAGAAACATAATTAACAAGCAGAAGATCAAGATTGAAACTTTAAGAAAATAAACTGCAGGATGTACAAAGATCATTGGAGGAGGTAAAAATATTCTGGAAAAAGGCTATAAACATAGTTGCCTGTTGATTTTTATTAAATTAGTTTTTTTTCCCCTGATCCCTTATTTGGAGGCTCTACATTCCTGCTATAAGTGAGACCACCTGGTATTTTTCTTTTTCTTTCTGGCTTATTTTGCTGAGCATGATCCCTTCAGCTCCATCCATGTTGCTGCAAATGGCATGAGTTTATCTTTTTTGATTGCTGAGTAATATTCCATTGTGTGTAGGTACCACATCTTCTTGATCCAGTCATATATTTTTAGGCATTTGGGTTGTTTCCATAGCTTACCTGTTGTAAAT